AGGTCGCGAGTCGTGAGCGCAATCGACTTAGTTTACCTACGGGCCTGAGGTGTTGCTAAGGTCCAGCGGCGACTCACTTTGAAGGGCCGCTCGAGTGCCTGGGGGCCATCCGACCCGACAGAGTGGGCACGATACCTCTCCCGTTGCCGAATCAGTGTTGTGGTCCGCCCACGCCTTCATGCACTCAACCTGATCTCCTATTAAACCATTATGATGAGGAATAAACTACATGAATATTCCCACCGCAAGAGATGTGACAGTGTGTGATGAACTCAGTGTCTGTCCCTGAACTGTGGTCAATCTCAAGGCTAGTATTGAGGAGATCTCCTCACCAAGCAGATCATGGCAAATAGGGCACAGGTCTACCGCTGTGTCAATTCTTCTGGGTTCAACAGAACCTTCCTTCACTGCTGTAGTGGCTCGAGCCGTGTCTAAGTGATGCTTACACGAGACTTTCCAAGAGGTGGGGTTCCTAACTGTTCGACGAGGTAGATGTAGAGGCCCCTCCTCTAATCGAGAGGATGTCGTCAAGCTCTCTATCACAGAGGGCCAACTGCCACAGCAAAGGGTCGTCGGCGCCTAGGCGTAATACCTTGTGGAGGACGAACCTGCTGAAGCCTTAAGGCTTCGCGACCGACTCTTTCCACTCACAGAATATGTAAACAATACTCTTCAATCGTTCTATCGCTTTTTCTTTTGAGTTGCTCACACGAGCAGGTGTGAGTGTTGCTTATTGTAACCCGAAATTTTGTAGTCGCAGGCGAGCGCTCGTCGAGATTTCTCACAACCTGAGTTCATCCCCACACGTGGGGAGGTGGGAGCGCTCAATTTTACGAAACATGCTGGGCCGATGGTCTGGACGACGCATAGTCGACTTGTCTGTGCTTTCTCTAGAGTATCTTGGAATCCCGAAGTCGGCGATCTACGGTACGGAACCGAGCGGGACATCCAAAAGGCTTCTAAAGTCTCTCTGACGCGTCCCGGCAACTAACTTCCAATCAGCAACACAACGCTAACATTGTTGAATTGGAGTTATAGTAGAAGAGCAGGCAACCCTTCGTGAAAAAAACTCAGCATACTCCTTCAGCTTTAGAGAAGTAATAGCTGCTTCACAGAGAGACGGCCAGCGCCACTGATGTGCTTATTCCTACAGTGCAATGATACAGCAACGTATATCCTCCAAACGACTAGGAAGGTAGATGACGATACAAGACGATTGAGACCATGAAAGAGCAGATGATTATCCTCATGGTTTTGGCGACCTCCCTTCCGGTGTGATTGCTATAATGCACAAAATCGAAAACGGAAATCGATCACAACTCCACGACTCAATCTGTAGAGGTTACACGGCAACCCATCATCAAGAATCTCTTAGCGCACAGAGTGAACTCTTCCGCTGGAACGAATAGATGCCATTCTGAAATAATCATCAAGTCGATAACGACAACTTCGCTCCGCCTACCAATGAGCTGTAAAAAAGCAGCCTCCAGTCCATCGAGCTCTGCCACTCTCACGCCACCAACGTGTGCATAATATTTATTATCGTAGTAATGGTCGTCAAAGTACTTTACTGCTATCACCAAGGCAATGAGAAAAAATCTGGAGAGAAATGTCGAGACAAGCCTTATATCGTTGACACTTACTTGTGAACACTCCTCCTGGTTATCCGAAATTGAGAGTGATTATCCGAAACACGGTCCAGATAGATGAGAGCAATCAGGTAGCATTCTCGGGAGCACTGAAGATGCAAATTGTAGGCGGAGCGAAACACGACAAGCTCCCACCAAAAAGTGCTTTTCCAAGCGTTTCAGATACGCGTGGATTGAGATGCTCGGCGGTCGGAGTGAATAAAATCGGGTGACTCCTCTAAGGTTGGGCGGGACGTCATCTGAATAGAACAACGATCGACTATAAAGAGATAACTGAGGAGACCTAATCTACCTGGGAAGGAGACCATTTCAAGTGGTGATATGATGTCAAGAACATATTTGGCCATCGTACCAACAAAATCCACCTGAGAGGCCACCACCTCAGAAGCAGCAGTCAGAAGTCACAACCGACCTGAAATGCTGATGTACCGAAAACGAACTCTTGCAAGAACTCCTCATCGCCATCAAAACGCGCTGATACGGTGCCATCACAACATACGTGTTGATGGTCATGATCAGCAGTGGCCATGGCCACCAGACTGGCTTGACTCTCATTATGTGGTATACAAGCTGTAGTACAGCTGACAGGTATTGCTGTACTACTGGGAGCTGTCACAGAGCCCTCAGTGTCTGTGTAAATGACGGGGCTCCCTTTTCCACCCTTATCTTTCGATTTAACGGGAGATTGCCATGGCTGAGCAAAGAAGTCACCAGCACTGGAAAAATTCCGAGGCCTTGACACGTCGTCCTTCAGTTGTGTGAGAAAAATTGCCGCATCACTGCTATTGCATCGACACACTCGTCGTAGAAACTGCTGAGTTTGCTGAGGCTGAAGACCGTCGGGGGAAGGATCATCGTGTATGATCGACACCGCTGGCCTAGGTCTGGACGGTGAGAGATTTGGTGACGCTGGTGGTGACACGCGGTTACTGTGAGGAGGACCCGAAGAAGTGGAGACAGCCAACGAGAGCATTTTCAGAGCGTGCTAGAGAAGGCGAAAACCAGACAACATACTGAGACCGACACTCAAAGACGAGCATCGTAGATACGACATATGATGAAGGCGATAAGTAATGCTCCTTTAACCAAACACTTGGTTATACTTGAAAAGTTCGATAGTCAATAACGTTATGATGGAATAAATATAATCCATGAACGAACAACATGATAGCGATTCTCGTACCATATAGTAACGTTGAGTAATCTTGTTTTCATGATATCTAATCAGATTTGAGATAAACTGAATAAACTTAACTGTACAAATAACCACAAGCATAGGGCATGGTCGTTGACTCTATGTACAGTAAGGCTTTACCTCAAGGTCAGATAGTAGCTTCTCGTTAGACAGGTGTCTTCTATCTGGGCACATGAGACAGATCGACTCCTAATGCCATGCTGGTTGAATCAATACATGTACGATAGGACGATAAGAGGATAAGGGGAACAAAGAGGCTTGTCGGAAGAGAGACAATCGAAGATAGTAATGATGATAACGATGATAGCAGCCGTAGCCCGCTCAATATGACCCATAACGATTCTCAACCTACATCTGTGTTGGTAAAATGGTCGAGAACTGTGCATGCAAGAAGCGTTGACAGTCCAACCTTGAGAACCGAATGCCCTCACTGGGTGACGACACTTGATGGAGTCACAGTAGCCATCTCCCAGTTAACACACGATTCGATCCTTCTCAAGACCTCCGATGATGATGATGACGATGATGATGATTTAGTATTGGTATTGATACTGCTCACAGTTGCTACCGATGAGGCACGAGGAGCCTGAAAGAGAGCAGCTAAGTATACAAAGGCATTCCCGTGATTATGCCACTGATCGTGATGTGAAAACTGTTCTGTTATATATACTCATAGTGGAACTATGATGATCACTCCTCGGAGTACTGCAAAAGGACTACTATTCGAACGAGTCACACATCAAACACGAGCCGATACAAGTAACAACTGAGGACCGCCCAAGGAATTGCTGCTTCCAGCCGTGCAGCGGCGATAAAAAAGCTCATGTTATGGTTCCACAACCATTGCCTTATGGAAGCGGGCGGCAAAGCCCAGCGTTTCCATCGTGACACGCCTATTTATCTCATAGTAAAAGCCTTACTCCCACACAACGACTACAATTATGAGCACGTCTAGCTCAAATGACCAGCGTTGCTACTCGTAAAGTGATCGGTCGATGCTGAGTGAGGATATTGGGGAATCTCAACTCGAATATGATAAACCCTGGGCTAAGACAGTGGCTTCACTTATCATGTTATAGGTACAGTATGAACACACAGCAACGGCACAGAAATACAATTCATGACAAAGGCAAGTGGTGCCAAAACGGGACAAAAACACAGGTCTAATTTTCCATAACGTTAACAGGAAAAACTTCCTGAGTTAAGCTTAACTGCTGTACGCTACTTTGATAAGGCTAATCATCAGTCCCGGGGGAGTAGAGAGCGATGACGATAGCGGTGGTAACGCCAACTCGACAGAGGTCGATGATGACCAAACGCTCATTCGGTAGGCCTCGTACTCCTCTGGCAGGGTATGAAGATTCCAGTCTGAGACAGTGGTGATAAATATGCATACCAACACGCGAACGTCGGGGTAAGGCTTACTAATGAGCCTAAGGAATTCTGCCTCTAACGCGTTGAGCTCCTTGGTCCTAACACCGCCAACGGCAGCATAGAACTTGTTACTGTAGTAGCGATCATCGAAGAACTTCGCTGCCAATACGACCGAAGTAAGAATAACTCTGTGATCGGGAAACAGACCAAAACGCCGTTTATGATAACGACTAACCTGTGGATAGCGCACATAGTAACAACAAAGTTAGGTCCTTGGGTCTTGAGGAGTCGATCCATGTAGATGAGGGCGATAACAAAGCATTCGGAAGAGCACTGCAGAGACAAGTATATGTAAGGGCAGCAATGGCAGACCTACTCTGAAGTGTGATTCAACCCGTTGGAGATAATGATAGATCGATATTGAGGGGGGGCTAATGCCATGGAACCTTGTACGTGTCCCTGGAGCTGAAGAGCAGGGCGGGATCACTAGCAAGGACTGCTTCTCAAGGGGGGAGAATAACTCACAGTCAACGCCCTCTAATGTGGCTACTAGGACCATATGTTCTAGAAGGTTTGACAGCGCATGGAGAAAGCCGTCCTGCAAAAGGATGCTGGTTCGAAACAAGGCATGCACACTTTTCAACGGTATAATGCTCACCATAGGCGAGGAGAAGCTCTGACTATTGCCACTGTTGGAAGCCCCTTTGAATGAGAGCTTATCCCTCATTGGAGAATCAGACAGCTCGAAAAGGCTGAACAGAAGTCTCGGGAGTAGAGGAAACACCCCGGGGAAACACAAGCCATAGACGCTCGAAAAGGAGTGTGTCCACGATTCCACCGTCTCTCTAACCGCTTCTACCATCATTAGGATAACCATTACATCCTTGAAGCCGGTCGCAAGTTGCGAAAAGTTCAGAATTACAACAAACCACCAGCGCTGGTGTGAAAAAGGTCATTCTAGCGACAAGCGACGCTCCTTACACTATATAGGAGTCGATAGCAGCTGTTGTCGCAGTAGTGGCAACCACGTGTGTAGTAATAGTGGACCGTTTAAACGTATTGAAATGGTAACAGTGATGGTCAGAGTTGGTGATGGAGTGGTAGCAGTGGCACACCAAAATCATGTTTGTGCATCAATGAGTAATGACGGCAGAAAAAAATGGCAATGAAACCATCAAAGATACTAGGTCGAAAGAGCCTAAAATAATAAACAATTTTCTTAGATAATTCTTCATCTTTTTTCATCGTCAGTGATAGGCACAATTCCACCAATGACAAATCGTGCATCTACGCTCCTTGGCTGCTACTGCTCTCAACGTTGCTCACAAGCTCAGCTCTGACAAAACCTTCTTCGTGCCTCAGGAGCTCTCCAGGCTAATGACATAAGTCACAATTTCTTCTCGTACAGCAAATATCTACGGGCAGCAACGTAGGACAACTACTGCATGAATGAGCCAATGAGAAAACCACAGATGCCGATACAATCCCAGAAATGATACGGATACAGTGGGACAGCAATTCGATAGTTAGAGAGAGAAGAGGTATGAAAACTTTAATGAAAAAAACAATGAGTCGCGGATAAGAGAAAAAGAACTCAATAACGACCTAGTTGATAATATATTGACATTTCGGGGTTGATATCCCGAGAACGCCATAAAAACCAATACTTTTCTTCATTTCCACCGAGAATAGTACAATGTGATGACACTTGAAGACTAGAGCCGTCTACTTGTCGCAGGTTTACTAGTCAACTGTGCAGCTGAGAACTTCTCGTTCTTCATCAAAAAGAAAGACCTACTCCTCAAGACAACTGGAGGAAAGTCTAATATTCCCCACAAGCTTTCAAAACATGCCCACCACGATTATCATATGGTTAGTCGGGGAATCGATCCATCTCAGTGGAAAGGATACCCGGCACCGTTTCAACGACAGAAACGTTGCCCAGAATTGCTTCAGGCAGGCATCCCTGGCGAAAATCTCGATACGAACAGAATGCGGGATACAGTGGCAATTCTACAGTGGTGATGAATATATTCACCATAGCAATAAGTCTACCGATTCAGCTCAATAGTAACAATGATTCGGTCTCGACAAAGTGACCGATACAAAAAGCATTCATTAGTGGTTTTCAAGACAGACGGAGGTTTATCTGAACAGCAGCAAGAAACTTGAAAGAACATTTCACAAACACACACTCACAGACTCTCCGTCAAAATGACGTCATCATAAGAACTCAGCACTTCAGATGTAGCAAGCATAGGACAACAAGGGATACCTGCGACCACGACCTACATGCGACCTTCATAAATACTTCTATTCTCACTACCATCGCAGTTGTTAGAGTAGATGGCTGAGGTGAAACGTGGCTGACGACACCAACTGCTTATCACCTCCTGAAGTGTCCAAGTTAGAGTATACCTAGACAAGTATTAGGCTGCATTCAAGTCAGCTCATAAGAGATACTTCGGCGTCCAAATCTCGAATCTCGAGTAAGGTTCTATACGCTTCGAATTGTTCGGGGGTGACAGTCAGGCTCCAGTCTGATAGATAATGAGTACTATTCACCAACAGAGTTTTCAAAAATGCCACTTATAAGCCTAAGGAAGCCCGCTTCAAGAGAGTTCAACTCATGCAAGCGGATCCCTGCCATCTTGGCATAATTCGCGTTGCTGTAATAACAATCATCATAGAACTTCGTGGCCACCAGAAGAGCTGATAGGAGAATCCTGACAAAGAGACGACGGGTCGGTGGGGAATCTTGCGCACACGGAAGGATACCTGTGGATACTATATGAGTTGATTCTGAACACATTTATTCGACCCATACGAACTCTGTCAATGTAAATCAGGGCTACAATGACGCTAGATGTAGAACACTGAGAAATGATAGTAGTAAAAGTTGGTAGAATATGAGCAGCCTACATCGAACTTCCTGATAAGACGTTTGAAATAAGCCTCGACAGAGATGACCGGGACTCGAACGGCGTGAAAACGTGTGAACTGTCCTGGTCCAAAATACTCTGAGTACCATTATCATCATCATAATAAACAACAGTGTGCTTATAACCCACCAGTAGCTGCCTCACTCTGATGGACCATTCTAGCCAGGAGTTTGGAAAAAGAGGATAGTATCCTACCACCTGTAGGACGGCATGAGATATGAGTTCACTGTCACTATATGCCCGAGTCTACACCTCAGCCCACTCACTCGATATAGAGTTATCTTCCTTTTCTTGTTGTTCTTGTTGTTGTCGTTGATAATGAGTAGTTTTGGTGGTATATAAAAGAGCCCCATTCTTCCTACTAAAGGGTCTAGCCGATAACTTGGAGGGATGATCCGGAAGGCTGAGATCATCAGTAGTAGTCGAGACGGAGTCCGACTGGCCCCATGGGGACGAGGCGATCAGAGTTGACATAGACAGCAACCCCCAAGAACCTGGCAGCATATTCGAACCTCTTCCCAACAACTCAAATTCATACATCAAGATAAAAAGAATAATGATGATGATGATGATGACCCAAATCCAGGATGGGCCCTAGTCCAGCAAAGTTTCAAGGAATAGGAGTGCAAGAGTTGGTGGCCACCTCGGCCTCCTGAGCATATTGGATGATCAAAGAGCACGCTGTACACTACGGCCCAAGGGCTGTTCGAGTAGAGTTCTGCAAGGGTATACCAGACGCCTGGAAGGCCTACTCTTATGGCAATCGTCCTGATGGGGCATCCATTCACGACTAAGGCCAGCCCTATCTGCCTCTGGAGATGAAGATACCCCTAGGCCTCCAGAGAGCCATACCATCCCTCGGAGTATTCTCGCCACCCACTAGGGACCTCCAGAGGACAAGGTGGCATCGTATTACGGCGTATTATCCGACTCGACCGAAATGGTAGAACCGAGAGAAACCAAGATCCCTCCCATGAGGATATCCAATACAAAGGATTCCTAGAGCAGCGCTACAGACCATTACGACTAGCAATACGATAACACAGTGCCACAAGCACTACACGTCGCCGCCACCCAACACGAACTACTCGAGTATCAATATACCACGCAACAAGAACACGACCAACGTCAAAGTCTACCGGCTGCAACCTTCACCTAAGCCCTTGACCAATCTGCATGGTGGTCATCTCTTCGATGGAGTCAAGTCCCCAGACTGTGTCACTAGAATCCACCCACTTCGTGCAGGGTGTAGCTTCGCCGCTCATTGACCGCGATCGACCTTTATTGTATTTCCGCTCAAGCCCATGTTCAAGATAGGTAGTAGTCGTCATACATTCGCAAAAAGGGCTGGAAAAAGCCATTATGAATCTCACCAACAGCAACGCAAGACTCCCCCTCGGTAGAAGAAGCAGTAGACACGTTGGAAATAAGGAGGAACAATACAGATGACAGTGTTAATACGGTGATGCCGCCACACCCCGAGGGCCCTTCCTAGTCTGCCACGTAAGACATGTTCGAATCAGCACGCATGCACACAAACTTACATCTTTAAGTTCGGGTCTGGACTCTCCAGCATTTGGTCCCCAGCTCACTACCGCACCATCCTCTCCTCCTGTAAATACCGTTCCTCGAGTAGTGTCCTGGAACATCATGTCCATCATCAACATCACCAACGACCAAAGCCATCTTCCTACCAATACTGCTGATCGGACCACCCCCTCATGTCCCCTATCCCCCAAGCCTGTATGGAATACCCCATGTGTCGTCAGCTCGGCTGCATCAGCCAATTCGCAGCACACTACCGTACCATTGGTAGATCCACCAAGAATGTATCTGAACACCTCAGAATTGCCTCCCCCCTGCCTCAAAGGTCCCCAGCCTTCCTCACAGACGGTCCGATGGGGCATCATATTGGGCGTCGATGATGTACCCCAGTTGCATATCTTCTTGCTCCCCTTGGCTAGCACACAATAAAGGATGCTCCCGAATACCACTACTCTCAAGGCATCTAAACAAGGATACTGTATGAAGGCCACCATCATCGGTGTCACCACTACCGCTGAGCCGTACTAGCATTCCACACTTGAAGCCTCTCAGTGCAAGTCGACACTACCAGAAGGTCCCCAGTAGGTCCGGCCGCAGACACTGATCGTACCTAGGACCAAGCTGATGATTCTACACAAGTGTGGTAAGCGTACAGAGTCCTCAGCACTGAGGGTCACTTTAGGGGCTTGTCCATCGTCCTCGTTATTGAGATCAGTAACATCAAGTACGTTGATGAGAGTATCATCTCCTGAGGACACCAACATGGTACTATAATGGACCTGTTTTGAATCTACCTCCGGTAAGGCAAAGATTCGTCCGTGTTGGATGGAACTTGACGCAATTGACTATGTCCATATGAGCCTCCGTGTAAGTGAAGTAAGGCTTGCTATTACCAGATTTCACATCATACAGCGCGACGTCTGAGTCTAGGCCGACCTGAAGGGACGACATCACCGCGATCTAGATCAATGTCATCGTGGTTGTATTAGCGTTTGCAAGCGCGTATTATTCTAGGGAAATCCGTAACGAATTGTATTTCAAGAGCGCCTCGCCGGACTGTGCTGTTATTCCTACACAGAATGACGGACCCAAAGGATGTTGTTGAGTTGGGAATTTCGATACGAATCGATATGAATGACAAGATTATGGTAGATGTCCAATAACGATCATAACGTGAGGGAGCATCCACGGCAGCCCTCAAGTGACTACCCCATACCGCCTCTAATGCCGAATGCAAACTATTCGCAAAAATGGAAGTCCATCGATCGTTCGTCCTCCTCCTCCGTCCGCCTTACTGCGAGCACGTTGTTGGTGTTAATACTGGCTCCAAAGAGCTGAGCATCTCTACGGTTACTACTGCATACTATAGTCCCAACAGGGCCTCCTGAGGATCTCAGGTCCCATAGCTTCACAGTACCATCACGAGAAGAGGACACTCTAAGGGAATCCAAGCATGTGAGTTGTAAGATACGAATGAGCTCACAATCCACGTCCATGGGAGGCTGGTATGACCTGGAGGTCTGTGATGGGTTGATCGTGGCATGCGGGTAAAAGGGACATCTAAACCTCACCATACTGGCACTACTAGGTGATGCGGGTCTCACCTCAGACAGAGTAGCTTCATCGAGTATTCGAATAACGCTGTTGACTTTAGCACCAACCCTCTGCTGTGAGGCGATAGCCAATGATGACGGCAATAGGCATATTCGGAATACATATCTGTGAGTTTAGGATTACCGAGAGGCCCCACTCCCCTCACGTAGTACCCTCCCTTCTTGTCCACGTGTCGGGCGATGGGTAGGAACTGGATGGGCTGACCGACGGCCATTACGGTTGATGATAAAACTGTAAGACACCGATTTGCCTATTTTTGCATCAGTTAGAGCCATCCAGGCTCATCTTATCGGGAGTGATATGAGATATCGAAGGTTAGAATACGCCGGAGGGAAATGAAAAGGCGTGACAGCAACGCAGGTCGGTACGCACGAAGAACACAACGAAAACTTGCCGTTGAGGAAATGCAAGATAGCAAGATTCGGGATAGTCTCGTATCCCAGCTGAACGACGGAAATGCAGGCCGCCGAATATCTTAGGTTGAAGATCACAAGATACGGATCATGTACCAGTTGATTTGTCCATCGTATTTGAGAATCTCGAGATGGAACCAACATCGGCCGAAGAGTACCGTAAGGAAGGGAATACCAAGTTAAAGGTAAGGTGTGGTATACCCTCTACCCCTTATTGGTGGTGACACAGGCCAAGGACATCCAAGGAGCCATTGATAGCTACACTCATGCTATCGATATGAAGCCTGAGGACCACCTAGCATGGTAAGGGGTCTTTCCATGGCTTCAGTAACATGGTCATTACAGGTCCAACCGATCAGCGGCTTTCTCTGTCGATGGCTCTTATGACAAGGCCTTGGCTGATGGTTTGAAGTGTGTCGAGTTGGCCCCTTTTTGGAGTAAGGGACACCATCGGGTGGGCTCAGCATTGCAGTCTATGGGGAGGTAGGACGGTGTTTATAGGGTTAGAGGGGCACCTTATGGACAGGTACCAAGAGGCTATTGACCATCTCGATGCAGCCATCAAGACTTGTACTGAGGTAATGCTAATAGGAGGAGGAGATGCTTATGGTAGTTGATGGTCATCTTAGGGGGACATTGCCAATCTAAAGGCCTTGAGGGATGCTTGCAAGGGCCTATCAGTTGAGAAGAGGCTCCTTGGGGCATGGAAAGGAACTGTCACAGAGCAGCTTGGTGGATACTCTCAAGTAGGATAGTGTACGACTTATGTTCTATCGTTGGTCTGTTGTCAGGTTATGCAGTTTGAGGAGGGCCATAAGATGCATGTGATGGTCATGGGCCAATCTCAAGAGGCCAGCTATATGGTGGATGCTGCTAGGGACCCCGCTCTTCTCAACATCCATCTTGCCATCGATGGTGACCAAGGGCCTAATGTGCCGTAATACTGAGGGCGAAAGGGCTTTATAAACTCAGTAGTCGTAGTAGATGTTCCTGTAAGATTTGGTCGTCCGTAGTATGGAGGTATTGATGGTGTCGGGAGCGGGTATTGAACCCGCGACCTGCGGATTATTGGCATGCCCATGCATCATGCTAAGCTGTTCTGTAGATATATCATCCGCTTTACTGATGAAACTACGCTCGAGATGTGCTGTCCTTATCTTACTCCCGAGATTCCGACTAAGTTTGAAGGGCCGGGTCTGGTGACAATGAAGAAGGTAGGCGCCATTCTAGGCCCTCTACCATCATCCCGTGCCTTTCAAGTTACCCGATGGTGAGAAGGTTGATGTCGATGAAGGCAAGTGGGTGGACTCCCCGGAGTTGGAGGAGATCAGAAAGCTCGATGAGAGGACTAAGGTACCATAGTCGTGCCATAGAGGGTTTCATAATGTGGGAGCTAGGTCCTTCGATACATGAGGGAATTTAGTGATATCCTCATAAAGGCTAAGGAGAACAACGATGATGATGATGGGGAGGTAGGGACTGCTAGTAGTGGTCCTGGTCTTGTCGGAGAGGGATATGCTCAGTTGCCTCCCACCAAAGGTGCTACGGATGAGGAAATAAGGGCCAACAAACAGGTGTTGAAGATGATGTCTGTGAATGTGAAGGTGAGAGGCTTATCGAGGTGTGATGGTATGTTCAGGTCGGCACTTATCCTAGGTAAATGCGGTGGAGGCGCGGTATGGAAGTCCAGTGGCACAAGCTGTGTTTTTGCTAGTGGCCCAGTGCCAAACTCCGAAGGTAGCTTATGAAGGGGCGGCCCTGTTGTTGACTGCTATGTTCAGGATCATGAGTTGGAGAGTGCATCGGATGAGTTGCGGAAGCTGATGTTGGAGGTTGGCCTCATTGATGAGGCTAGTCTAGAAGAGACCAGGAAGAAGTTTAGGGAGGCGAACAAGGTGGGAAGTGTCGAGGGAATGGTATTGAAATTCCTCTCTGGTCAGTTCATGCAGGACCAGACAGCAGCTGCGGCAGGCGGTGTGCAGGGAGCTCCTCCTTCGGATGGGCGTACCGAAGCCACTCGAGCTAGGCTCCAAAAGAAGCTCGAGAGCAGGCAGGCTGCAGAGAAGGCAGCTGCTACTGTGGAGGGGGCGGGGGGCAGCGCTAATGGTAGGGAGGGAGGGATGATGGATAGGGATGATGGATAGGGATGATGGGGTTTAGGTAAGAAGGCTTCGAAAAAGAAGAGTAATAAGAAGAAGTCAGACGTGAGCAAAGCCAGCGAGGGTAGTTCAGAAGAGGCGAAGGTGGGCAGTACACCTACGGAGGAAATGCGTGGGGAAAACTCAAGTGAAGACGAGAAGGCAAGAGTGAACGAAGAAGGTAGTGGCATCACTATGGAGGACTCGATGAGTTATGAGAAGCTGTTGTCTGTCGGACTGGTGGTCGCCGCTGCTGCTGTCGGAGGTGTTATACTGTATCGCAAGTATTTTAGTAAGAAGGAGTGATTAGTTTCGTATCTTGCACTCTTGCATTTCCTCAACGCAACTGAGAATCCTACCAACTACTGTTCCTTGTCGTATATTTACAGACACTTCATCATCCCGTCATCTCGGGTTGTTGTTGTTGTTGTTGTTTAATTTTATGGCGCAGTGGTCAGATTGATTTTGTATGAATGGGCGTTAATGGTCTATGGGCTACCCTCAGTAAAGGGCATCCACACATCTTCACACGAATCCCCTTGCCTCCCTATGCTGCTAGTAACATCACTCGTAGTAGCCTATTAGAAGGCCGTCAGCTGTATGTTGATGCTACCATGTTCCTTTATCGATTCACTTCTTCATCGCGACGATTGTCTATGACACAAGTCATGGACAGATTCAGTCGGCTCAGTTTCGCGTTGAAACTCCTGTCGGGCCGTAGACCGATATTCGTATTAGATGCGAAACCCTCTAAGATAAAGCAACGGCATTGTTTGAATCAGCGTTGGGCAGTGAGGACGGCCTATGCTGCTGCTGCTCTAGCCAAGGTGGAGAAGGAGTACAGTGATGAAGAGGAAACAGGAGGGGTGTCGCCGCCACCCCCACCTCCTCCAGCTCATGTTGATCTACGTTTGGGTGTGTGGTGGACCTGTATGTGGCGTAACTTCTTTGCACGAGGCCTGTCCCTGTGTAGAGCACCGGATGGATGGGACGCTGAGGCAGTGTGTGCAAAGTTGGCAGCGAGATGTAATGGTGTTGTGGTGAGTGAGGATGGTGATGCTCTGGCCTTCGGGGCTCCAGCCATACTACGTAACGTATGGAGGTATCGTATTCTTGATGACGATGATGAGCCCTCGGCTGAGCTGGTAGAGCGGGCTGCGGTGGAGGAGGCACTTGGGGTCACTTCGAGGCAGTTTGTGGAGGTCTGTGTCCTGGCTGGATGCGACTTCGCTTCTCATTTGCCTAACTTGGGCTTTACAGTGGCCTCCCGGGCTATGAGGGAACATAAAGGGATTGAGGAGTACCTCCGTCAGCGAGAACTCAACGATCAACAATTCAGGATGATTAAACTGTTCGCCTTGGGTTTCGATTGGAAGGCGGCAGTAGAGTGTTTTGATAAGGATATGGCAGAGGAGGAGGTGCGATCGTTAGTGAGGACGGACCATGATCGGGCGATAGCGGCTACGTGTCTGCTATATGGAGCGAGAGATTCGTTGCCTGCAGGGATCGACCGAATCAGTGCAATACTAAATTTATGTCGGGAGGCGATTTTGCGGCGCATGACGAATATTCTGGAGCCCACTTTGGACCCGGAGGCCTTCTTTGCTGATAATCCGTGGCGACAGCAGTTCGCCTACTTGACGTTCTCTCACGTGTGTCGGAAAAGTGCCATTGAAGGCGGCATTTTCGCGGCGCGTGACGGTGTTGGGATGAAGCAATATGTAGGGGGAAAGGGGAGGATCTTTGATAGGCAGAGAAGGAAGAGACCGAAAGACAGATTGGAGATGGAAAATTGGCGTATGACAAGAGTCTTTGAGCCGAGTTTGAGTTTGGAAGATATGCCTCCTCTTATGATATACTTTGGGCCGTGGCGGTACAGGATGGCCTACATTGCACGCAGGGAGGCTGAGGCTGGGAGTATCTTGAGGTCGACTGTGAAAGATACAGAAGAGGTCAAGAGGTGCCTTGTCATAGAAGAGGAGTCCATCGCTTCTTGTACGACACATAAGTGTGCCGTGGACTGACTCCTCCTCCTTTCCCATCGTACCTGGCAGCAGCAACAGCAGGTAGTAGTAGTAGTAGTAGTAGTATCGTGAGGCGGTAGTGAATACACCTTGTCCTTTTCAGACGTAATTACAGCAGTCTCTCCTCCGAGCAGTCAGCTCATCATGATGATGATCTTGTCTAATTTAATATTAGGTTTCGTGAATTAATATAACAGAGGTTGTTTCGTTGTCATGTTCATTAATGTGTCTTAGCCGGGGATCGAACTTGCAACCTGTGGTGTGTAGTCTTGCCATCGATACTGCTTGACCATATTACCTGATAGCGCTTCCGACTCCCTCTATCAGGGTTCTATCTTATATGCCCAAGGCCGGCACTTATACAGCGAGATCCATCGTGGACCTATTCGGTACTGTCCTCCTCCTCTTCCTTCTCCTATTGTTGCTGCTGTTGTCACCAACACCTTCGTAGGGACGTTCGATGATGTGCCCCATGGGACCTCAGAAGGGGTCCGATTCTCTTCCTCAGCAGCAGCAGCTGCCAATGCGAGGAGAGGGGCTGACGGCTCTAAAGGCGTTGCTGCTTCCAACGTCTTCGTCACGGCTCATGCTTTGAGTTTCAGAAAGAGGCTCAGGTCGGAAAGGGCATCAGCAATTTGCCACCGCGCGCCACAAAAATGTTTTCAGATACATAGTCGCTTGCTGCCAACCGTCCCAGTGGATCTTGCTGGCGCTCTTGGGCTTCGTCACGGCCGTATTGGCCTTCACAATTGAGCTTTCTGTCACTAAAATGTGGGTGTCTCTTTGAGATGTATAGATTGATAGGAGTCCTCTCAGATACGAACTCCGAGCGGAGTACCTGCCAGTGTGGGCGTGGTTACTAACAGCAGCCGTACTAGCAGCATTCGCTGTACTGTGCGTGTAGGTCTCTAATGATATCCTCCCTCCTGTAAAGCTTTCCTCAGCCACATAGGCTCACCGGCAGCAGCAGGGTCGGGCATCCCCGAGATGAAGGTTACTCTTACTGGAGAGGATGTTGACGATTTCCTATCACTTCGTCGGTGTCTTCACCCTTGCTATCCTATAAGGGCTGTCGTTCATCAGGTACTCTCTTTGCGAAGACCTTTGGTTTAGTTGCTGTGCAAGCGGCTGGGCTCTCCCTAGGCAGCGAGGGGCCCTTTGTAAGGAGAGGCGGAGGAGGACAGCTGCTGCTGCTGTCGCCGATATCAATGATGTTTTCCTGTCAGATACACATCGCTGGCTGCGTGGCTGTAGCGTTGTGTACGTATCTCCCACAGGCTTGGTTTTACAGGTCAGACTCGGCCGTCAATCTATGAGATATCTTGGAATCTTCACTGTGCGCAGATACATCAACGTCGAGACCTATCGACTGCAGTTACTAGCGGTAGCTGTGAGTGCTGGTGTGACGGCAACCTTCGGAGCACCAGTGGGAGGTGTATTATTCTCGATAGAAGTAGGGACATCTACTGCGTTATCAGCTTAGTATTGTCATTTAAGGTTACCGCAACTTTCTTTTTCGTATCGTCATTATGGAAAGGATTCTACACAGCAATTGCTTGTATGGTTGTGTTCAGGCTAGCACGCCTTGTGGTAGGTTTAGGAACGCCTTGACTGTTGGGAATTGCTCCTCCTCTCAGCCCGTGATCGAGCTCTTTCAAATTGACACGCTCCCACCCTTAACTATCACTCTGGAGATCTTCGCCTTCATCATATTAGCGGTCCTCTGTGGGGTTCTATCTGGCGTCATAGTGTGAGAGTCGGCACCGATGTATACTCCCCGTACACAGCCGACTTGTTAGGTTCTTCGTCGGTGTCCTAAATTCTATCACCAAGAGGTTTCCCATCCCCATGCGTTATGTTTGGGTAACAGGAGTTGCCCTCGTCGACGCCGGAGTTGCATACGCGTACTACAGTTGTGGAAGGTTCTGATGATAGTCATCATATAGGTCTCCATTGCTGTGGCAGTTGGATAGGGGGCTCCTTGGCGACATGCTTGTTGTATCCCATCACGAGGCGGCCAATGATGTCATTAACCAGGCGGGGAATCTTGCAGTAGGTTAGTGTCGGTGCGTACCTGGCTAAATATGATGTGTTTTCAGATTGTCTTCATCGCTAAGATATGCCTGATGATTGTGTCCATGAGTTGTAGTACTTCTACTCTAAGTCGTTATCATGAATGAACGCTGTTGTCAGGTTGGGTGCCAACAGGGCTCTTTCTCCCAGTATTCACCATTGGAGCGGTATGGGGTCGTCTCTATGGGCTTTTAGTACACGAACTGTTAGCCCAAAGCTATGCCTTCGCACCGCCTGCTGTGTATTGATATCGTACTACTTCATAGTAATTGTATCTCCTTTACCTCAGGTACGCTCTAGTAGGCGCGATATGTCTTACTGCTGGAGTTACTCGGACCATCTCGGTGGCCGTTATTGCATTTGAGCTTACTGGGCACATCCACCAGATGTCTGTTATCGTCATAAGTCCGCACTTCTAGTAATAGCATTGGTACTGGTTATTTGTAGGTACAGTAGTAGCATATGCAGTAGCAGCGTTATTTACTACCTCGATCTATGATGTCCTCCTCCACTTGAAGGGGCTTCCATACGTACCACATTTGCGTCCCCCAGAACTGTAAGAAACGGATGGTGACACGGCTTGAGCATCTATGGCAGGTATCACCATCGTATCGGTGATCTACTACAACCAGTTCCCGAATCTGCATGTATTTTTCTTGTCCGACAGGATGATACCACTCTTTCTCTAACTCAGCAGCCGAGCCTTTGGAACGCCTACACCGCCTTGAGGTGATTATCCCTCTACATTGAAACATCTTGTGATCGCTGTTGTCAGCAACTCGCCCAACCCGTGCCCTATGATACCCATCGTCACGCGCCACGAAAATGGTGGGCTCAAGCTAGCTGGTAGGCAGAAGGCATGCTTGGTCTCCTGCAGTGTCCGCAAGGTATAATACCAACACACCAGATAGAAGGTGAAATTCTGTCGGCTATGAAAGCCGTGATTCCAAACGGAGTATCAGTGCTGGACAATACGATCATTTCAGAGAATAGCCAGATGCTGTCTCAGCAGCAGCTCGCTGTGCTAGGTAGGGTCTATACGATTTCAGAAAGCTGTATTTTTTGCTGATCAGATGAGAGCACCCCGATCGGTCGAGCAGTGGACTGGAACCCTCTAACTGTAACCCATACGATGCCAACAGCTCGAGTGCAGTGAGTCGCTGGGTCGAAGCTGGAGTTTATAATTTGAATACTAGCGAATGTCCGAAACCTCCAACACGCCTTGGTGTTGAGGGAGATGAGGAACTTTGCGAAGCATTATAAAGATAATGCTTTCGTAGGCATGCTTTTCCAACGACATTCGGCAGAATTAAAGAAATTGTAACTAGTGGTACTGCTTCGACTCGACAGTGTAATGACCAGCTCTCACTGGTGCTACGAGTCGAGTAGTTGGATAACACATGAGTTCACAGGAGCGGGCATAACCTCCTCCAACTTATCAAGGTAACTTATTGGAATCTTGGACATGGCAACACACACGTGAAGGGGTAAATGATGATATCATCGGTATTCGATGATACCAGAAGGGTATCCTCATCAATAGCAAGTCCGAACTATTCAACCCAACAACCTCGATAGTAATGGGCTTAAATGCCCACAGAATTGTTTGAACATACAGCCTGCATCTGCAGAAGGGCAACAACGTAATCTTTATACGGGAAGCTCAACACATCAGACGGATATAAAACCAGTAGTGGAACTGAACCTACGGACAGAATTGATTTGAGATATTTCGGTTCAGAACTTCGAGGCACTTCTTAAGAATCCGTTTGTGTAATAAATGATTGTATGAAAAGATACACCCTCTCATCACCATCAACAGTGAGTGATGAAAGGACAGTAACATAACTGAAGACTTAGTCGCTATACTTGGTTACGACTAGCTCTCGCGTACAGGATCATCTAGCTGTGCTTCAAAAGTCTTGCCTTCGCTCTCGACATCCGTCATCTGGCTCTCCGTCTCGCTAGCTATTTTTGAGCCTTTGTGGGAGAGGAAGCTCGGTGAGCACCAGGCAGTGTTGATGGCAACACCCTTATTGGGATCATCGTCCTCCCTCGCGGGCTTCCGATGCCGGAATATGGGCCAGAAGCAGATGATAGCCTTCGGGATCGTCTTGTTGTGAGTCTCATCCAACCGCTCATTCTCGGCCTCGAGTTTATCTCGTATGCCGTTACCATGTCGGAATATAATAACACCAGCCAGGATGACCACCAGGCAGACCCATTCGAACCAGGTGATGGTATCGGCACCAATAAGAGGCCAACTAATAAGCGACATGAATGCGGATATGGGTACTGAGAGTTTGAAGCAGACGAAAGTAAGCAAACTTGAACCATAGCAGACAAGTAGAAAGACAGTGATGTTGAAGCAGACGTTGATAACCATGAACACAACAAAGGCGGGCATTGCACCTTGTGCGTGTAGGAGCGTTTGGAAGCCCTCTCCCATCACATCAAGTACATTGTCAGACGTCCTGGATAGCTCTATCAATATGGAAACTGGGAATACCCAAATTATACCAAACGTATTATTTGAACTGCCCACAGCGAAGACGTTAAGTTTTTTATTTTTGTAGCCATGTTTCTCAGCGTATTGAGAATAATCACGAAACATAGCCTCCCTGATAACCTGAGCTAAGGCCTGGAAGAAGGTTGACATGAGGCAGAGGACTGACATAGCAGCGCCACTCGATCCACCAGATGCGGACGAGAAGACGGCAGAAACGATTGTCATTGCAACAACCATGGTCACTCCAAGCAGCTCTTCGGAAACGTACTGTCTTCCCAGTAGAATGCAGGACCACATAAGTGTGAAAGGTACCATACCTTGTTGAAGTAAATTGAACAGAATAATCGATAGGAACGGTTGAGTGAGATACATAAGATTATCCCCTAGTACGTCTCCCATAGATGAGAAGAAGGTGTATTTGATGCCGGGCAATTTACTCCACCATCGCCAGAAGCCTTTTTTAGACTCATCGACATCTTTACGTGGAGTCCATACCCAAAGAAACTCCTCCTTAGTCATGATGTCTTTATGCGTGAGCTTACTCACGATCCACAGAATGATGAGAAGCGACCAGTAGGTGGTGAAATACACGTACTGGCTTATAATGCAGGTAACATAGCCTGCCGCATCTCCCAAAGGCTCTGATCTAATCTTTCCCGCGATGATATTAAGAGTCCCCAAAGTCACAAGGAGGACGATAAGAGTGGGGATAAGTAACTTATGCCACGTGAATCGGTCACGCCAGGAGGATCTCTCCTCCATCACCGACGTACTATCAGCTGGGGTGGTCCCGCTGCCGCTACTGCTGCTATTTAAATGTTCCGAGGTCACTGCAGAAAACGACATTCCTGAGTGTTACAAAAATTAGAATCTGACATGATAGTCAAGCCTCTGGAGTATTCATCGGCATTTCCTAAAGTGAATTTTCCGAGTTTCCGCTGTGCTTACTGAGCCAACACAGCGAAGCTACGTGCCCCCAATACGTGGTATTAACCTTCATTGTCGCTCCTAGCTGGGAACCCTGAGTACACTATACGAGAGATAAGCCCCATCTACAACTACACAAGTACCTCTTTGTCAAAGCGGCTCATGTATTAGATCACCTGAGCTTAACCATGTTATAAGGCCAGCAGTCCTCACTGGGACGAAACGTTGTGTCGCTGAATTCCGGCCTTAGACAGATTGTGTGCTTGATGCCGAAATATGTTTAGGACGTTGTGCTTGGATGTTTCGATTTCAATATGTGTTCGATTCATATTCTTTGAGGCGTTCTAATGTGCCTCTTGTAGGTACTTATTCACGATGCTGCGTTTACATTGCCTTTTTGTATTGGACGGAACAACGCACGTCTTGTTGGGAGTAGTCACGAAGGTCGGAATGCGTCGTTCTGTTAATGATACCATGATTACCCCACCGCTTAGGCTTCCTTTGACATTTCTCGAGAGCTACTCCCACCCACCGAGTTGAACAGTAGGTCTTCCGTAAAGGATCCAACAGAAGATGACAAGGTAAGGTTGCACGATCATCCGTGGCAGTAGCCACGATCATGTGTATCGCGCTAACGGCTCGTGTCGGTGTTGCATTAGAACATGAACGAAGTGTTGTTTCATCTGAGTAGCAGCTTTCGAAAACTCTCGACCAGCCGTATTGCGTTCGTCGAGTGGATGTGCCTTTTCCAGACTAACCTCGAGCTTTCTGAGCTTCGGAGACGTTCCCTTGGCAATGTTGTAGACGATGTGCCGTCTACCTCCCCTCCCCACTACGATGAGGAAATTGACAGCACTATCGGTGTAAGCCCGCGGGTCAGCTCGTTAATGCTAAGCCTTTTGTTCTGATCAGTCTATATGATGGTCTTTTTGCTATCTCGTTCGTCCAGGATGAACAAGAAGATTGAAAGATAACGATAAAGTTCGCTGACAGTCTAAAATGGCAAGTTTTGGTCAGTGTCGCTCCCTTTGCAGTACTGTCCTCAAGTGAGCGGCTATTGTGAACTTCTTACACCTTTCTGAGTTCTTATATCTGCTCCTATTGCAAAGACGCATGAGTGGTTCGTTGACTCGTATTGTAAGCTTTACGCTAGTTCGATCTCAGTGCTTTGCTGTTGAGTTCAGTTGAATGTTAGGCAGGGCTTGGGTTTTATTCCTGGCAGCGGTGACTTGCAAACAGTTCATAATCGTCTCACCAAAACTCCGTGCCTCAACAACGTCGGGTGAGATCTTTGGAGCTGAAGAGGATACGATGCGGTAGCCACCACTCATATGTTTGGTACTAGCAGCAGTAAAGGTAGTGTTTGGGATGCGTCTCTCTCCTGCGGATGACGACTCGACTCGTGAGCAGACATCAGATAGAAAGGTGGTTATTGAATAGGTAGTACACAGCGCATGCACTCACAGCGCATGCACTCACAGCGTTCGAGGCGTGCGCAACAGAGAATTATCGGATTATCACGGATTGGTCAATTGCGGCTATAATAGAGAACGCGATCTCATTTGGAGGAGCACAACCGAAACGTGAGGCTAACACGATGATTATCTCAAGACATTTTATATTCGTATATAACCTAGCTGGAGATTTATCAAGAGAGCTACACTTTGCGCGCTTCTCAATATTGCCGCGCAGAAAATCTCGGTGGCCGACGAAAATTTCTCTTAGACGACATCAAGAGAAGATCTCTCGCCGTTGCCACAGAAAGGCACCCCCAAAACCATGAGCAAGTAGAGAAGCTGCTCCCACTTGTCCAGTGGTGCGATACGCTCCGTTGGTCAACTCTCCAACACAACATTATATTCATGGTGATAGGCGCAAATGCCTACCGAATTATCGAGACTGTAATAGCAGAAGTGGCAATTATGCAGTCTTTGTGGAGGAGGAACATAAGAGACTCCTAGAGGAATATATAGTACCAGTAGAACTGGTGACTATCACAGGAGTATTGGTAGTATGGCAGAAACTGAACCTATGGACAGAATTGGTTAGAAATATTCGGTTCAGCAGGAAACGATACTATTGGTAGCATTCATGAAGTTCGGACAAGATGCCCGTCTTGAATAGCCATCGACAGCATCGTGACATAACAACGGCAGTATTTGCCTATGAGACAATTGATTGATCTCAAACAGTAGAACACTGGGCTAAACAATCGAGACCGTATTGTGTCCTCACTACAGTGTGGATAGTCGAGGTAACCTTGCCACGACTAAACTGTAGAGAGGATCACTTCACAGTTAATTCGAAAGTCTTTTCACCGCCCTCGATGTCTGTCAACTCGGACTTCGCGTCACTAGTTGCTGTAGAATTCTTATGAGAAAGGAAGCTCGGTGAGCACCAGGCAGTGTTGATGGCAACACCCTTATTGGGATCATCGTCCTCCCTCGCGGGCTTCCGATGCCGGAATATGGGCCAGAAGCAGATGATAGCCTTCGGGATCGTCTTGTTGTGAGTCTCATCCAACCGCTCATTCTCGGCCTCGAGTTTATCTCGTATGCCGTTACCATGCCGGAATATAATAACACCAGCCAGGATGACCACCAGGCAGACCCATTCGAACCAGGTGATGGTATCGGCACCGATAAGAGGCCAACTAATAAGCGACATGAATGCTGACAAGGGCACTGTGAGTTTAAGGCTCACAAAGGTAAGCAAACTTGAACCATAGCAAACGAGTAGATAGATGGTGATGTTAAAGCAGACGTTGATAACCATGAACACGACAAAGGCGGGCATTGCACCTTGTGCGTGTAGGAGCGTTTGGAAGCCCTCCCCCATCACATCAAGTACATTGTCAGACGTCCTTGATAGCTCCACCAAGATAGAAATCGGGAATACCCAAATGATACCGAAGGTGTGATTAGAGCTGCTCACAGCGAAGACATTGAGGTCGGTGTTCTTATACCCGTGGCTCTGAGCATATTGGGTGTAGTCATGAAACATGGCCTCCCTGATAACTTGACCTAGAGCCTGGAAGAGAGTTGACATGAGGCAGAGAATAGACATACCAACACTGCTGGACCCACCAGATGTTGAAGAGAGAACGGCTGATACAATTGTCATTGCAACAACCAAGGCTACCCCCAGCAGCTCTTCAGAGATATACCGCGCGCCGAGCAAAATGCAGGACCACATAAGGGTGAAAGGGACCATACCTTGTTGAAGTAGATTGAACAGGATGATCGATAGGAACGGTTGAGTGAGGAACATGAGATTGTCTCCAAGCACATCAGCGATGGAGGAGAAGAAGGTGTACTTGAACCCTGGTAGTTTATCCCACCACCGACGGAAGCCTTTTTTAGACTCATCGACATCTTTACGTGGAGTCCATACCCATAGGAACTCCTCCTTAGTCATGATGTCTTTATGCGTGAGCTTACTCACGATCCATAGAATGATGAGAATGCACCAATAGGTGGTAAAATACACGAACTGACTAATAATACTCGTAACATAGCCTGACGCATCTCCCAATGGCTGCGACCGAATCTTCCCCGCGATGGTATTTAGAGTCCCTGTCACAACCAGGAGGACGATGAGAGTGGGGATAAGCAACTTGTGCCATGTAAATCGGTCTCGCCAGGAAGAACAGCGTGCCTTCTCCATCACGGGAGTGTTGGGAATTACGCTGCTACTGCTACTGCTGCTGCTGGAAGTTACTGGGGTCACTGCAGAAAATGACATTTCCGAGCGCCACGAAAAAATAAATCTGAAATACATGAAGCCTTGCTAGCGCCACCTGAATACAGCTGATCAGCAATTTCCCCACTATTATAAGCCACCATACTGCTATACAGTAGTAGCCCCCCTACCCCCCTTTACGATCGCTTATCCACTGTAAGAGTATGTTGATAGTAATGACTTGAAATTCGACATGCATGATCCCGGCTGCTCAACAGTCAATGACCGTGCCGCGAATTTAGCTGTGTGATATTGTCTCTTATCTCTCCTCCTCCTCCTCCTCCTCATTCTTTTTAAGGGACACCCCACACAAATATCCTTGCGGTGGCAACATCGAGTATGCCATGCAGAGCATGATCTTTAAAAACTACGAACGACTCTTTGTTGAGGGGCCCAAGTAGAAGTCAAAAAGGGGCCACTTGTAATATCCGGTCAGCTGTAGTCCTCGCGTCACAAAAAGGAGACAGGTTGTGTGCGAGATACTGCCATCGATCGCGGATAAGATTTTACTGTCTTATTGTTGATTTCGGGGTTCTCAACTCGTGATTGTTATAGTTTTTGATCGTGTTGCTACCAGATTTTCCTTCGTTAACTTACAACTGCATTGGATCTCCATCTTCACACCATGGTAATGGAGTTTACGTGGAGTTGCGTGAAGTCCACTTCACGCTTGCGCAGTGCGGGCCGCACTGTGCGGCCCAGTAAAGTAGTAGGCACCAAAGTCGAAGCCCTATTCCACCAGTGATACTTAGTATCCCCTAGCCGCTCAGGCTTTCCTGGGCCCGAGGGCTACTCTTGCCTATCAAATTGAATAGTAGAGCTCCCGTAAGGAATCCTAAAGGGCAAGGCAAGGTTGGACGACCATCTGTGGCAGTGGTGACAAAGATATCCTGTGGAATGTCAGTGTCATTAAGGCCGCTATCCAATCAAAAGAACGTCGCACGAGTGTTTTGGACACGCCGGCATAATCAGGGCATCCATAATCAGTTCGCGGACTTCTATCATGCAAGTGCGTTGTCACCGTTCATTGTTGGTGGACGCGGGTTCAATCCCCGGTTGAGACAAGTCACAGTCAACAGCTTGTTTTCGTTCCTTTTTCACACCGCACTTTCCACCAATGCCGAGTGATACTCCCTGGAGCCGTGGAGGACACAATGCAATGGCCATCACTGATCTCTTTGGTAGGAATAGTAGTGGAAGTAGGACGCGGTATCATCTCATCGAAGGTACCTACGACGATGTGCCTCCTAATGCTCGATTGGGATTGGGCACTGCCACGAGGGAGAAAGGCTCACTATTCACAACCTCCTCCAGACGGCTCAGCTTCAGACGCCGCCTCGGGTTCACACTCTCAACCATCCGGATATCAGAGTGGACATTACTCACCCTATTGGGTGTCATCACAGCCCTCGTAGCTATTGCTGTGGAGTACTGTGTTGCCCATATGTAACCTTCATATCTGGACGGCATACACTACTAGTGGTCTTCAGTTTCGAACTGAGAGCTGAGGGGCCACTGTGGGTCTATTTTCTCACCGGACCCTTCCTTGTAGTGGCCGCTGTCGGTTGCGTGTAAGTCGGGGTTAATCATCCTCCTCTGTTGAGAGGCTCTCTATCAGTCAGTTCGGTTCCCCTGCAGCGGTCGGCTCAGGCATGCCGCAGATGAAAGTCACATTGGTAGGGGAGGAGATCCCCAACCTCCTCACACTACGTAGTGCACTCTCCGTAAAGGCGGCCATAGGTTTATGTAAGGTACCCTGGTGTCAAAGGTCTTCGGACTAGGGTGTGGCCTGGCTGCTGGTCTCACTATTGGTAGTGAGGGACCCTTCGTAAGTAGCACTCACTCCTGGTGCATGCTACTACCATCGATCGGCTCAAGGTCCACGTATCGGGCTGTATAGCAAATGCACTGAGCAGATACCTCCCAGCTAAGCGGTTCCGTCGGTAGGCTCATCATCTCGAGATCATGGCTTTTCGTCAATTGCCCGCTCAACCTGAAGGTACTTCACCTACGAGACCTTCAGACTTCAGCTACTAGCAGTAGCAGTGAGTACTGGTGTTACGGCCACTTTCGGGGCTCCTGTTGGAGGTGTTATATTCGCCGTAGAGGTAACCAGCCTGAAAAGCTGACGTCTGAGATGGCTGTCCCTGCCAGGTTACAGCAGTGTACTTTTTCGTCTCCAACCTCTCTAGAGCTTTCTATTCCTCCATATGCTGTGTCCTCATATACCGCGTCACCAGGGAATCCGTAATAACAGTGAATCTGGTGACTGTGATGACCTCTTGTTAGGGCCTCGTCGACCTCTTCGAGGTTGAAGACATGCCTGATTGGAAGCTCCACTGGGAGCTCATCATCTTCTGCATCCTATCAGCTGTATGCGGAGTGTTGGCGGGGTTGCTGGTGTAACCACGAACTGCCTCATTCGTTCGACCATCCTCCCTTGTGAGATACTGCATCGGCTACATCAATCGCTACACGACTAAGTTGCCTTCCCTCTGGCGGTTCATCTGGGCTGTTTGCGTGGTCTCTGCGATCGCTGGGATTTCCTGCGGGTAGGACAGCGGCGATAGACATTAGCTCACAACGGTAATGGCGGCAGGTTACCTGTACTACAACGTCTGGACAAAAAGCTCCTCACGCTGCTGTTCTCCGCTGAAGAGGATCCTGCCGCTGACTACTACCATACTATGCATAGTGTTGGTGAGTTGGCGGTGAGTACAATATCGTGAAGTCGTCCATGTGGAAACTATGGAGTTCTCAGGCCTTACTTGGTGTCAAGTGCTTCACCTTTATCCTCAGTCTTAGTTGTAGGGTATTAATCGTTATAGTGCTCTTCACCGGTCTCTCGATGTAAGGTCACATCCCTGCTGGGGTCTTCACGCCTTCCTTCGTCATTGGAGCCCTCTGTGGTCGATTCACCGGAGTAGTCATGCATGAGCTCTTCCCTGACGCCGACCTAGCTTCGCCTGCCTTGTGAGCATCAACGACTACCTCTTTGGTTGGCCATTTACATCGTCAACAGGTACTCCCTTATTGGTGCTGTCTCTGTCACCGCTGGTGTCACCAGGACCGTCTCCGTGGCGGTCATTGCTTTCGAGCTAACAGCCCAGATTCACAACATGACGCCTATCTTGCTATGTAGCCTCATCCTCCTGCTTGCCCTAGCCTACATTCCTCACTCTCCAGGTACTTTGATATCATATACCGTTTCTGCTATGTTAACTATATCGATCTACGACGTCCTATTGCATCTTCGAAATCTACCGTATTTGCCTCATCTTAGGAAGAGCGATTTGTAAGGGGTGAAGCGTTCGTTTCTGATGGTTATCATCTGCGGCTCGCCAGATACCACCACGTGTGTCGAGACTTGATGATTCCGATCAACACAGCATTCTGCATTTTCGAAGGGTCGCCGCATGGTCAGTATAGGCGGTCTTCCACATGGATTTATTACACTTCCCTCACAGGTCTCGAGGTTCCCTTGATTGACGCTTACGATGCCTCACGTCGGCTCCCAAAGGGTTGCGATAAAGTCCCTGTTGTGGAGTATGTTGCCGGGCATGAGCCAATGATAGTCCTCAGAGGCAGGTTGGCCTAAGCCTCCAGCCTCCAGTACCCACATCTCTGTAGGCGTCGTGCCCATCTCGAACATAGTCGCGGAGACTTCAAAGGCTATAGAGGAGAGTCGTCTGCCGGAAGGACTACCGGATGATGAAATCAGGGATGTTCTTTCTCTGAGGACGCTCGAGCTCGACAGTAAGGCCTCGCACTTCGATCGGGCCAATCAGGCATTGCCTTAGACCTTCTCACAAGAGTAGGAAAGACAGCAGACTGGTCTCCCATCGTTGTTCCCGAGACCCTACCAGTTGCCCGAGTACAGTACCTCTTCACTATGCTTCGCCTCAAGTCCTTATTCGTCACGGAAACCACCACGCAGAGGCTCCTAGGTGTTATCACTAAGGTAAAGTACCGACTCCGTTCCCGTGGTGATCCTACTACTGCCCTACCAGGAGTGCTTCGATGCTACCCCTGCTGATCTCATACAGTGGAGTGAAGGCAGTGTCCATGGTGGAGGCTATAGACGGTTCACGCCGGGCTCCTTCTCGGTAGGCTTTGTTCGATAGTTCTACACAAGTCATGGGGAACATTCTCAGCAATTCTGGGCAGAAGATTGGCATTCAGCGACCTGCGATGGAGGGGGTAAACCTGCTGCACCGAGCGGAACCGACCACCCACAATGCTTGGCCGCTCCGGGGGATATCGAAATGCCGCAAATCGCTGACAGCCTGTCGGACATCAAACCTCCACCAGATCTCAACTGTAGGGTGGTCCGCATCGGGCACGATTAGTATCTTACGGTTGCCTCGTTATCAGATTCTAACGAAGAGACTACCAATCATGGTGATCACACTAGAGGGCCCTCGTCACCATCAACTCCCCCTGACTATGATGATGATGATGAGGAAGTTGTCCCGATCGACCCTAGCCCTTCAACGTCTGTTTCCTATCCTTACCCAGTCGTCTAAATATCCTATTTTTGTCCGTCGGCAGGGCCTCATTGTGAGGGCCTTAGACAGGAAATCGTACTATTTTGCAACTATGAGTATATCCTCTATTTTTGCAGCTCATTAGCTCACGAATCTTCTGTAGCTATTAAAAGGGTCTATTCTACTGAAGCATCCAGGCCACTCATATTTCTATTTTTTGATCAATCGCTCATCCTGAGGAATTTCTTGTTGTGATGCCTTTCTCACCATAGTAGTCATGTTTGGTAGGAGGATGTTATCGTGTTAGGAGGGCTCGGGGGTCCTTCTAGTAGAGCTCTTCAGATGCTTACCCCTCCGTTGCTTGTTGCTAGTACCGCTAGTGGCATCGGTCTATCTCCTACAACTACCCAGGTCCGATCGGGCCGGCAGCTACTACGCCTGGCTCGCTCGCTCTCCCGGGAGTCGGATTCCTCACCGTTACGATGGCTAGAGGTCAGCGACGCTACTCTGGACCTCGTCACTCACCGGACGGGAATCCGACTGGTGGAGGCCCTTGAGGTAAGGCGGCTTAGGTGGCTTAGTCGATCATGGCTTGATGCACTAACATGTGTATGGTGTAGGTTGGGCGTTTGATGGTCCAGTCCAACGTGGCAGACAGCAGTCTGAAGTCAGCTCTATCCAAATGGGTGGCCGAGAGTCGTGACGAGGTAAGCGCTGCTTAGTTGTCGAAGGATTTTCTGAGCTTTCGCAGGATGCCGTTGGTACGGGGACGCTACTGGAGGAAGGACGGCTTGCGATAGAGGCTCTGGGAACTGACGATCCTGCATGCACTGAGGCTTGCCGGAGAATTTTGTGGCGCGCGAAAAATATGAATCCTGACGACTTGGTAGGTTCGTTAGATAGGGCGTCGTATACATACCCTTCTTTAGGTATTAGCTTGGTCTCTTCTAAGCAGAGTCAACCTGGCCTATAGGGACTGGTCGTCGCTGCTGATATCGACGATCTCTCGAGTGCAGCGTATGACTTACATACAGGTTAGTCCAGAAGGCGCCTTCCTCGCTGAGTCTCGTCATGAAGGGAGCCCAAATAGCAACGGTGTTGGCGGAGACACGGTCGCAGGAGTGGCAGCAGCAGGTGGACAATGCTGATCTCGTTATCACATTGAATGGCGTAGGTTGATCATTCCGTCACGCGCCACGAAATTACCCTAGATTTTGGCCACTCACCAAGCATCCCTCTGTGACTCGTTGCCTCTGCCTTCCCTCCTGAGGATACTACAGACGATGGCCGCTGTGAATGAAGCCCCAAATGAGTTTGCCAACCAACGGAAGAGGGTCGAACAGGCAATTTTGGAGAGAATAAAAGTCTGTGAGGGCGGTGAGCAGGGTTTCTGGTGACTCCATCGCTAGTAACTCGTCGAGCGCCCTTAGACCTCCCCAGGAACCTCGACTGTGGCGGGATCGTGCGGCTCCTCGGCCGGTATTTAGAGAAGGTTCATCTACAGCGAATCGCCGAGTGGGCAGCTCTGAACGCGAAGAGACGGTCAGTGATGACAGCAGAGGACCTGTTGGTCATACGGGATAAATGCAGCGAGGTGAGTCCAACTGCTGACCATGAGGCGTCTATGGCTCCTCATAGGTTGGATTGGATGATATGAGCACCATTGACGAGGCCGTTCGGTGGTGGTTGTGTTTCAAATGGAAGTATGAAGGTCCCGCCAGGCATGTTGACGACGTTTCACAAGACGTTTCTGTCTACCTACTGCGTGTTGTGTTCCCCAAGTCCTCTGAACGGCTCTGCTCCCTGGTGGATACAACCACGACCCTCAACCTGCAAGGCTATTTGTGATAGAATGTTCGGTGACAGTACTTTGCAATATCCTGAATACACTGGAGATCAGCCTGTCACAATAACGGTGGTCACACTCGGTACCGATGTATCGGGCTAGTAGTAGATCCTTCCGGGAGCCCTCGAGGCGATGACAGTTGTGTCGCGGATGACCTCACAGACCCTGTAAGTAGCGCTGATGCAGTGAGGTCCTATCGACTCGGAAGTTCTCCTTCCGTAGAAAGAGTAGGGGACATCAAGTTCGCATAGGTCGTCCCGTCCATTATGTGCCTGTTGGTTACATCCTCATGTGTAATTGAGAGTGTCCCGTGGTCAATGGGAGAGCTTTGGTGAAGAGGTTAGCTCACTGGACTTGAACCCTCTCGATAAGCGGCTCATTTGTTCGGATATCGGTGGTGGAGTCGGGTTGCTGCAAAGCACTGACAATAGGGATGGTGGTGTGGCCAGGTTTCGGTGTCCGCGATGAAATATTTTCTATCGGAAGGCTGTCGATTGATAGCAGCAACGCTGTGCAAGCTGTGACACAAATGATGGAAAGCTGCTAGAAGTTTCCGACATGTTCTGAGTTCAGTGGGAGTCGACGTGTTCGATGAGGGATTCGCGATATGCGGGTTAGACCGATTCCACCATTCAGCAGATCTGTAACAACCTGCGCACGTGAAAACGCATCTTTTTGGAAGCTGGGAAGTATTTCGCGCGAGTATGGTCTTGCAGGTCACAGATATCACTGTAAATGATGGATTGTTTGAAGTTTCATTATCTATCCTCTGCAATGAGATTAGCATGAGTTTCATATAATAGTGATAGTTCGTAGTGCCTCATGACATACATACTTCTGCAACCTCTTAGGGTATCTACATGGGTAACGTTATGCACTAAACTGTTATCTATTTCCTCTCGAGGTACATTCTCTCGGGCTCGGAAAGTATTTCTCGAGCGTGCTTTAATTCACCAGTATGTGCAAGAAACTTGAAGCGTTACCACATAGTTGGACTGTATCCGCCCCTCATCCACGGAGTTAACACAATAGCATGAAAGCGATGATAGTGTAACCTTATTCTTACTGAATGAGATGATCATGAGATGATAAACAATACCAGTAAGAATTATGCCAGATTTTGCATGCCCATGCCGTAGTCTAAATTAGCCACCGGAGTAGCAGAGTGCTGAGACCGAGACATCGGCCCGCCTGCTCCTCCCATGGGTGGGGCGAGGACTGTTTGAGCTGAATGTGAGAGATCTCCACCAAACATGTTGGGATTGAGATTCTCCCGTACTTGCACTCGCTCGACCCCTCCGTCCAAGTAGATAGTTTCAAGCTGCTTATTGCGCTTCTTACTCTCACCAGCCACCACTTCAGTCTGATTCACTTCGACATAGCGGTCAACAGTCTGTACTTGAGGCACCTCTACAACACGTTCAACGCGCTGGACTTGAGTCTCCTCGATGATCTTATCGACATACTTCCGCACCACTTGAGGGACCGGGACTTCATTGATCTTCTCCACATAACGAGGGACCACCACTTCGACCTCCTTGTCGACGTACTGCACCTCGGGGACTTCAACCACCTTCTGCACGGTCCTCGTCACCGGCACTTGGACGTGCTTCTGGACGACTTGCGGTACATGAACGTCGATGATCTTCTCGACCTGCTGGATCACCGGGACTTCGACTTCTCGGTCGACATACTGCACTTGGGGAACATCCACGTACTTCTGGACCTTCTTGTGCACAGGAACGTTCACGTACTTCTGCACAGTCTGAGGGACCTCGACGTCGATGACCTCCTCCACACGCTTCACAACAGGCACCTCGACCTCACGCTCCACCACTTGGATCTCGGGCACCTCAACGTCGACCTGTACAGTCTTGGTAACCGGGACCTCGACGATCTTCTGGACAGTCTGTGGTACAGGCACTTCGATAATCTCCTCCTCATACCTAACCTGTGGGACCTCAACCTCTCTCTCGATCTCGTGGATCTCGGGCACTTCAACCGTACGCTGAACGACCGTCTCGTAGACCTTAGGAACGTGCTTGTACACCACCTGCTCCTCAGGCACCTCCACAACGTTCTCGTGATACTCCACCTCAGGAACGTCAATGACCTTGTCGACATACTCAACATAAGGCCTGTCGACCGGCACCTCAATGACGTTCTCGATGATGTTCTCTTGGTACTCCACACGCGGGACCTCACGGACCACCTCCCGAACCTCGTATTTGGGGACGTGCTTCTGGACCTTCTCAATGACCGGCACCTTCCTCTCAATGACCTTCTCAACCACCCTCTTCTTCTTCACCACCACATCCTGCGTGTCCTGTTGTTCAACATCATCGATGATCCTACGATGAACCTTGGGTATCTCAATCACGCGTTCCTGCGTGTGAATCACAGGCACTTCACGCACAGTCTCCTCGACCTCAATCTTGGGAACACGCCTCTCGACCTCGACGATTTCCTCAACAATCTGTGGCACGTAGACGACCCTAGGCACCTCAACGACCTGCTCGACCGACTTGGGGATAACACGTTCCACCACTTCAGTCTTGGGCACGTGAATGACCTGCTCCACGATCTGTTCGATAGGGTGCTCAATAACCTCCTCAGTGATTTGGGGGATATGCCGGTACTTGGGCACCTCAACAGTCTGGTGGACCGACTTAGGGATGATGCGCTCGACAGTGGTAATACGAGGAACCTCAATGATCTCCTCCTCGATCTGCTCGACAGGTATCTCCACGATCTGTTCCATGATCTTGGGGATATGACGGTAGATCGGCACCTTCTCAATGTGCTCGACGTACTTCGGAATTACCCTTTCTTGCACCTGGACGAAGACCAATGTAGGCCGACAAAACATGGACGTGCTGGGGCTCACCTGAATCTTCGGAATGTGGTTGATCTGCTCTATGATCTCTTCCCTCGGAACCTCGATCACCTGTTCCACGATTTGAGGCACGTGAAGATACCTACGAGAAAGAGCACGTGATGCATCGACAACACTCATGTTTTCGACCTTGGAACCTTCTGGACCTTCTCGACCATCCTGGGGATGACCTTCTCACGTGTGATAGGACGTTTAACTTCAATTACTTCCTCACGTACCACCTCTTGAGGCACCTCGACAATTTGCTCAACAATGTGAGGGACTCTCACATACTTGGGGACCTGACGACACGAACAAGGATACGACGGCGACGATAAGAACACCTAAGTTCATTTACCTCAACAACCTGCTTGACAGGTCTGTGTGTGATACGTTCCTGGACGACTTTACGAGGGACATCGACGTTGACAACCTTGTCGACCGTCCTCTGAACCACTTGCACTTGAGGGACCTCCACGACCTTCTCGACATATTGAATTTGCGGCACTTCGATGAGCTCCTCCACGTACTCGACCTCCGGGACGTCGACGTACACTTCCACGATCTCCTCTTCAATTTCCTCTCGAACGTTTTGCTTGGTTGGCAACTGTCGAACTTGTTCCTCTCGGACCTCAGTGATCTCAGGGGGAGCCGATTCCACCGATACCGTTGGAGTGTAGAGGTGTTGTTGTTGTTGCTGATGCATAGCATAACCAGCTGGCTGCACAGGCTGGCCGGTCGGGGTGAACAGATTAGCTTGTTGGAATTGCCCAGGCTGATAGAACCGCTGCTTGAGCGATTGACTGCTGCCAGGCGTTTGGTAAGGCTGTGGACAGAAGGCCTGGAATGGCTGATACATATCCAGACCACGACCTTGAGAGCTGAGGAACAGGAATAGAGGTAGAAATATTGAAATCGACTACAACACAGATGATCTTGACTACTTGACAACACGGATTTCAAATGCCACCATTTCATGCAGTCCTTCAATATCGCTACGACGACGCTCGACCACGATGCTTCCAATATAAAAATACGATATCATCCAACGGACGACAGAGGAAGGCCGGGAATTCATATGAATCGAGTGAATTCGAGCGCTTCATAAGACGTATGAAAATGGAGGATGAACCTAGAAGGGAGGGCCGTAACTGTTGAACATCTCGGCGAAGGACTTCTGGTCAGCAGCAGAGGACGGTGAAAGAGATCTCCGTTGATGGTGCTGCTGCTTTTGCTGAGCCAACTGTTGTAGCTGATACCGACTCACACTCTCAGGAGGGAGATCATGAGTGGAAACAGAGGTGTAGATATGGGCCGGCTCGGGGTCGTAGGCAGTGCCGTCGACGCGCTCATGGAGCCGTTCGATACCACCCTCGATGCGAATAGTCTCCAACTGGGTAGTTATCGTACGCTGCTCACCAGTGACCGTCTCCTCACTAGGAATCTCAATGTACCGCTCGATCGTCTCGATCTGAGGAACCTCGACGATCTTCTCAACCGTTTGGGAGACTTCCTCCTCGATGATCTTATCCTGGTACTTCTGAACTCTCTGAGGGACCTTCTGCTCTTGGATGACGTCTACGTACTTTGTGACGAACACATCCTGGGGAACATCAACGTACTCGATCTGTGGGACCTCCACATACTTCTGAACCGTTCGGACTTGGGGTACACGGACCTCCTTCTGAACAGTCTTATTAACAGGCACGTCGACGACCTTCTGGACTTGTTGGGTGATAGGAATCTCAATCTCTTTATCGACATATGCCACTTGGGGGATCTCGATAATCTTCTGAACCCTCTGGACGTCCGCAACGTGAATAACCTTCCGGACCTTCTGCTTGAACGGGACATCAACGTACTCCTCGACATACTCCACTTGTGGTATCTCCACCACCTTGTCGACATACTCAATCTTCGGCACCTCCACGTACTTCTGTACCTTGCGGACTTGAGGCACATGAACGATCTTCTGGACATGCCTATCGACGATCTCCGGGACCTCTTTGTAGACCACCTGTTCCTCCTCAACCTCAATGATCTTCTCAACATACTCGATTTGAGGAACTTCCACAACCTTGTCGATGTACTCAATCACAGGCACTTCCCTTTGAACCTCCCTGGTGATCTCGACAATCTTCTCCTCGTAAACGATCTTGGGCACCTCTCGAATGATCTCTTGTATTTCGAGCTTAGGCACCTTCTTATAGATCTTCTGCACAATCGGACGCTTTCTCTCGACGATCTTCTCGACCACCCGTTTCTTCTCAATGATAACGTCCTGGACTTGCTGTTCGATCTCCTGGTCAACAATCGTCCGAGTAACCTTCGGCACCTCAATAATCTTCTCCTGAATCTCTCGACGAGGAACCTCACGGACAATCTCCTCAATGTTGACCTTGGGCACACGCTTCTCGATCTCAATGATCTCCTCAATGATCTCAGGGACTTGCACAATGCGGGGGACCTCGACGATCTGCTCAACAGGGCGCTCTACGATGCGCTCGACCTTCTGAACCTTCGGGACGTAGACGATCTCCTCGTGGATTTCCTCCACGGGAATCTCTATGGTCTCCTCTGTGATCACCGGCACTTCACGATAAACTGGCACCTCAACGATCGTAGCGACTTCCTTGTGGATCACACGCTCAATATACTGTATTTTGGGGACCTCGACAACCTCCTCGATCACTTGAGGGACCTTCACCTGAACAACGGCAGAGATACTCGACCTTCTACTACGAGGTAACTCCTCACCTCCACAACTTCTTCCTCAATTTCTGGTACGTGTCGGTTCACGTGAATGGTCACCACCTGTTTAACAGGCTTCTCGACGATCCTCTCTTGGAACTGAGAACAGCTCGATAACGAGTATTAGAACAGGCGAATGGAGCTAGCTCACTTGAACCTTCGGGACTTCGATGATTTCCTCCTCGATCTGCTCGACAGGAACCTCAACAATGTCTTCAATAATGCGCTCCTGCCTAACCCGAACCTCCTCCTCTCGAATGCGAGGGATTTTCACATACTTCTCGACCTGAGGAAGAGGGTGTGATAACGTAAGACAAGAAGCTCACTGACCTCAACGTGTTGAATGACGGGTTTGTTGACGATCCTCTCTTGATAGACTACTTTCGGCACATCAACGTAGACGATCTTTTCCACAGGTTTCTCGATGTACTGAATCTCGGGTACTTCAACGATCTTCTCGATGTACTGCACCATAGGGATCTCCTCGACCTCCTCAATGTATTGGATCTCAGGCACGTCGACAGGGATCTCGATGACCTCATCCGTGATGATCTCCTGGACGTGCTGGACCGGTGGAGCCTGCAGACGCTGTACTTGATGGACTTCAGTGATCTCGGGGTCCTTGGTAAGCCGTGTAGAGGAGTAGGTCGGCTGGCCAGGCATATGCTGGTGCTGCTGTTGATACCCCCCTGGGAGGCGTTGCAAAGCAGAGAAGTCGGGTCGCTGGTTGAAGATAGATCTTCGTGATTGGTCCAGCTCGTTATCAGGGGGGTGACCTCCACCGAAGGGCATGCCCGGGTTGAACAACGTCGGTGGCCCAAAGTAGTTTGGATACGCGGAAGGGTTGGAGGCGGCCATGAAAACGGTCAGCCGTGTGAAAACTGACGGTTACAGAACTCAATCAACCAACACGTGAGGCCCCACCAGCAACGGCTATGGGAAGTGATAAGGCCTGAAAGACTCGTCAGCCACAACGAAAAGATCTCAGGGGGGGGAGCTTTCGACGCGAGATGAGGAAGGAAAATCGTAGCGACCATGTGCTCAGAAACCGTAATCTTGCGCTCACGGTCATGCGCGCGCGCCATTCTAATCGATTTTGTTTCCAATGAGAACAGGCAGTGAAAAGGTATCTTGAGGTTGCTTGTTGCTGGATACGAATGATGTCCGAATCGGTAGCTATTCTTCTTTTTCCTCTCGATAAACTTGATAGTCATGGGTCGCGACACGAGAAGCCGTAGCCGATCACCTTATAGTAGGAGCAGATCACGAAGGGAAAGGCATCGCGATAGTAATTGGCGAACGGGAATATCTTAGGTTCAACACTGCAAGATACGAAATAGGTCGCCTTGTGGTAGTCGGTGTGTTCCGATTTGGTGTAGAAATTCGTGATGTTAGTTTGTGGGGGTCTAGGGGTTTCTCGGGAACTCATTTTTCAGTACTCGACCACCACTTGCTGTGGTAAGCGTGGCAATGATACTCAACTTTATCATCATTTTTCAGCGGGATTTTCCTCGTAATTTTCACAGGTTCTTGCAAGTTTTCAGCAGTTTTAGTGTTTTTCCGTATTTTTTCAGGAAGCCGTGACCGCGAACGCGACCGTCATCGAGGCCATAGGTCCCATAGACACCACCAGTAAGCTAATACCATTCTTCTTCCCATTTAGGCATTGACGTAGGGGAGCTGTACTGCAGTTGTAGAAGTTCGTCTCACTTTGGTTTTCTTTCAGAATTGAATTTTCAGGCGCGGTGACGTTAGGGTTGCTCAGAAATGATGGATTTTGGTTTTTCCTTTTTAGTCGTAGCGATGATCGCGACCGTGATAGTTCCACCGAACGCGAGAAGGCTCGTCGCAGAGCTCAACGCGAGTAGGAACGTATCTTTAGGTTGACTGTGTATGATACGAATCATGTCAGTTTCCTGACCAAGTCGGCTCATCAAGCTGGTAACACCTCAAACATGTTCTGGGATGGTTTCCAGTGGATTCCCAAGATCGGCACTCAGGATTCTGCCCAACACAATGCCACACGGAAGAATCGTCGGCTCTATGTTGCTAACCTCCCCATCCAACTAGGTATGATCATATCATCAAGCAGTCTGTGGCAGAGCTTTCCTTTCTCAGGCCTTACGGAGGAGTTCCTTGGACAACAGCTATTCGCCGCTCTGCGTGAGCGGGGGTGTATCGCATCTGATGGCCATAGTCCTGTATTACACGTCTGGTTCGCCAGAGAAAAGGGTGGTACGCATACACAGGCTCCTCAGGATGGGCCCTAGGTCTGTCGAGGAGTTCCTTCTTACGTCGTAGGTAACTATGGATTCGTAGAGTTTGCTACACTAGAAGATACCGAGAATGCACTGGCGCTCGATGGTACTACCCCTGGTGCTGGAATTTTGTGGCGCAGCGGTAATTTATTCCCTACAGGCCTGGTTGTGATGGGAGCCCCTATCACTATTCGCCGACCATCGGATTATCAAGACTCGACTGTTCCCATGCTTAACGACTCGGTTGTTGCTGCTGCTGCTGCCGCTGCTGCTAATAGTAGGTCAATATTCAACAGATCATAATATTCAGTTAATCAATAGTGAAATGATACGATGGTAGCCTCTTAATAGGTTACTATATTACATATCATGTACGGCAATGTGCATATTAAGGATTAACATATAATGATGGTATTAATGATTCTTTTCATTATAGTTATATCTAGGTATACTTCGAATGTGATTGTATGATATCGCCCTAATACCCCTACAATATTGTTATTAGTGTATTATATTATCATCACATATGCAGGTGTAGCGCTGTAGAGTTGATCTAGGACGCGCTTGTTCAATAGGAATGAGACTCTATCTTCACATCGGTCGTAGTTCACCTTGCTTAGTGGAGTTTCACCGGTTTTACGTGAAGTGGCGTAATACTCTGTGAAAAAGCCGATATTTGCGCTATGCAGTGATTTTTGAGATATTTTTCGCTAGTGTTTTTCATATCGTAGTAGTTGTGATGCATCCCTTATCAGGTGCTGTCGGCAATCTCGGTGGCCAGGCTACTAGCCGAATTGTACGGTTCGCGCAGGTGAGGCCGTTGGTAGTTTGTTCTACTATGCGGCTTGGTGTTAGATCGTCAGAGTTGGCCCCAACACTACCAAGGATGAGTACACTGACGTAATTGAAGATATGAAGGGCGGCTGCGGTGACTTTGGCAAGCTCGACGCGGTATATATTGCATCGGCTGATGTCCATGTAAGGCTACTAGCTTGTGCGACATGGAGCCAATGGTTGGTAATTTTCAGGATCCTTCTACTCAAGGGTTGGTACTCGCTGCTGGAGATGTGTGTTTGGAGTACTCAGATCTCGGTGGTACGTATTTTGGGGAAGTACGCACATGGTCAACTACATGTGTTGGTGACAATATGGACATAGGGCGAAAATTTCGGGGAATTTCTGTAGCCGAATTCGTATAAGTATTAGAAATTTTGCCAAATTTTCTCAGATTTTCCACATGTAGTTGACAATGTGAATATTTTCTCACTCTAAATGGGAAATATCTTTTTTGGCGGTCAGGTGCTGAGGCTTGTATGAACGGCATGAAGGGTCGCAAATACGACGGTCAGGTGGTTCACATGAGCAGTGTAGATGAGGAGACTTGGCAGAATTTGGCGAAGTAAGTTTTAAGGAGCGTTGGAGTATATGTTCGCGGTGAGCTCAGGAGTTTTCTCACTTACTATAGGAGTTCATGTAGGGATTCGGGGAGAAGTCTACAGAAACCAATATGAAATTTTCAGAATTTTTATATTCGCACCAGCACATGTAGTTGACCATGTGTATGATTTGCCACACTGGTTTTAAGTATCCGTAGAATTGATAGTAGTAATAGTTTAATCGTATTATTACTGACTGGCTTTTGGGAGGGCTAGAAAAAGGACATGTTTTGTGCTCCTCTGGTGGACTGCTTATTTTGTTATCATTTTCTTGTGTAGGCCGGTGCTTGTCGAGATGGACGCAGCACTTGGTATATTGTAAGACTGGAGTCGCCGCCGACCTGCTTGTTGTTACTACCTTGTCGTCGTCGTTATGAAGGCAAGGGCCCCAAGGAGTAGGTCAGCACGTGAAACTATTACTACCCCTCAGCGGCTCATCGAAGTGTTCATAGTAGTTGAGTTTCACTCTGTTAGTCTAATATCATAACTAGAGTATTATTCAAGTATAATGGCAGACTCCCCAACAGACTCACCAGCATCGGTGGCATCATCTACTCATTCGACGTCTGGCCGCTCGGTTGCTAAAGCGGTAACGACCTCAGTGTACGAGATGGACGGCGCTATGTAGCAGGGGAGAGGCTGTTGTCTTGTTGGGGAGTGGTTTATGTCAGGCAACATAATCCTGGCTTTGATGAGATGAGGGATCACCAGGAAGGCTCGGAGTCGCAAAGTCAAGTTACGGTAGTAGTAGTGGTATTGAGTTGATGGTGACAGTGTTGTATGGTCAGAGCCCTTCTTCTGGTGATGAATTCTATAACAACATGGACGTCAACACTGTTGGCGTTATAGGTGAGTTGTGTATTTTATGGTATTGCAGTGAGCGAAATATTTGCCTTTATTTTTAGTGGCTTTTTTCAGATCCGAAACATAGTAAATTTTCGGTACGGAAGATCTCTGGTCTTAACGATATGCCTGATAACGTAAGAAGCGTGGTAGTAGCAGTGTTCACTGTACACTGATGCCAGGTGACTGACTTCAGTGCACTATCTAAGCCGGCTAAAATAGTGGCCTTGTGCATTGAGAGGGTTCCTGGGTGGCGAGGAAGGGTCCAACCGATAGATGTACCATCGGTGCCCTTTGCTTCGCTCCGCTAGAGTTGTGTGGAATTTTAGGTTGAGATAAACCAATTATGCGAAGGTCTGTCGAATCAGCTGTTTAGAGTGTCTTTGGCGAAGTCGTGGACTGATTCTGATAGTCCGACGAATAATGATGTCCCTCTGGCTTTCAAAAGGGTTCTATTCCGGTAATGGTGGTGATAGTCGGAAAAAGGCGGAGCGAAGTTTTTTTTCCTTATTTTTCAGAATTTACGGTAAAGACGCCCAGTCGTTTTATGACCCAGTGTACGAGCTGAAGGTCTTCAAGACGCTTTCGAGGTATCGCATAGCGCCTCAGCTGATCGCATGTGTAGGAGGAACGGACTTTCCATTTGTTGGTTATCGTTGTGGTCGTGGTGGTGGTCAGGGTAGTGGTTGGCGTATTGAGGAGTGGCATGCTTCGATAGCGGTGCCTACCAAGTTGCTGGGAAATCCGAGTATACTCTGTCAAGTGGGGAAAGGAGATTTCTTTACGGAAGTCCAGGAGACTTCGTGTTCAGATTGCATCCCAACTTGGCCGTTTTCACAAGCTGGACCAGCGACAGGATTTCCCGAGGTCTTTCAGTACGGAGCCGGCAACAATGAAGCGTTTGAGGTGGGTAGACGATGCTTCGCTCCGCTGTGATTTTGATGCAGGAATTGGGCATCGGAAGCGTCGAAAGTAACCTTTGTTGAGCCGGAACAGCGGAGGAAGTTGGAAAGGTTGCATGTTGACCGTATGGTGAAGGAAGCGGAGTATGAGGCTATTGGTTGGTGGTGTTGGTAGGCGTGCATGGTCAGGTGGCTTATGGGGTATCTCACGAGAAGCCAGGATGATATTGTTAAAGGGCAGGGCATGGACGTTGTATTCTCCCATAACGATGTAATAGAGCTTGGCCAAGGGTGGTAGTGTTGGAGACCTTCAGCTGAGCCTTGGAGTTTCTATACTTATTATAGAAGTGTACAGAAACCAATGAGAATGTTTCTAGAATTTGTCCTAGGAATTTTCAGGTTGTCATTGGCACATGTAGTCGAGGCACATGTGCATGTTCTCACGGATAGTCACGGTTTTAACAGGTACAGGAGAATAACATATTGCAGACCCAGTATGGGCTGCGGTTCATCGACTTCGAATACGCCCACTACAACTATCAGGCTTATGATATTGCTAACCTTTTCTGTGAGTTTACTATGGACTACACTGAGAGGTGGGTCGGGGTGGTGGTGGTCAGTGTTGGGGGAATTTATATACGTTTTATGAGCAGTTGAGCTCAGGAATTTCCTCACTCATTATACGAATTCAGCATTGGAGTGAAAGGGTACAGAAGTCTATAAAACTTCCCCAAAATTTTCTCAGATTTTTCAAACGTGTTTGACAACGTGCGTGGGCAATTCGACGCTACTATACGGATCTATCAGGCACTACCCTTTCTTTGCAACTGATTTAGCCGCGTATCCGGATGGCCGTACGCAGCGGTTGTTCCTCAGTGTCTACCTCTCAGAGTGAGTCCAGGGAGAGTATACGGTGCGTATTATGGTGGTGTTTAGGTATCTGGAAACGCCCATTTTCCCGGACAACGACTTGTATATTCTGCCGTTGATGAGGAATGTGTCCAAATTTGGTATGGCATCTCATCTGCTGTGGGGCCTGTGGAGCGTCATCCGAGCGCCGCAAGCGCCGACGTATGATGACTTTGACTTTTTAGTGTAGGAATATGTTCAGGTGTGGGCTTTGGGTGGGATGGGTTATTGATCAGGTACGCGAAATTCCGTTTCGACTCCTACTTCCGTATGAAGAGTATAATCCTGGCTCATGACAAGGAGGCGGTGGAGGAGGAGAAGGAGGATCTGTTGAAGGAGCAGATGGAGCGTACGAAACGCAGTGAAAAGGTAGGTGCTAGGGATAGAACTCGGTACCTATAGGATGGAAAACGTGGCCTTTTCCATTACGCTATGTTTCCACTAGTTTTGGCTTCAGATGATCTCGGACATGCGACCGTACATTGGTTTCTTCCGTGGTATAGAAATCGGTGCCGTTGCCCTGTCCATTGGCCTTTCCCTCGGTACTGTGTTTGCCGTCCTTAACTACCGCCCAAGAACACTGTGATGAGACACACTCTCTAAAATTGTAAACCTCATATTTGGACGATTGCCCGACATAGTTTCTAATGCTAATATATTTTCTGTAGTGTCGCCGCTGGGATTCGAACCTGCGTGTAGGCGATATCTCTTTAGTTGGCTTGCTTTTCAACTGTTGCATGTCCGCACAGCATCATCAACAACAACGAGGAGTGGTGCCGCCCAATACGCGGGTACGGCAAAATCCATTCGCTACTCAAGAACAGCCAGCAGGGGGGAGCTCATCCGGATGGTACCGGGTGCCGGGATCGAACCTGGGTCGTTACATTAGGCTCTTCAGGTATCAGCAGACTCCTACTATGCAAGCAACACCATCCACGTCAACTCCTTCTGCTGCTCCGGCTCCCGTGGGTGGTGGTGGGGTAACAGCGCCGTGGAACAGGGTCCATGCTCCTGGTATGGAGGCAGCTCCTCATGCTGTTGGTAGGCTAAGTCGTTGGTGGTCCACGCTTTTGAGTTGGCTGCAGGTCATCCGAGTGGTAGTGGTGGTGGTGCTAATGCGTATGGTGGTAGTGGAAGCCCATGGGGTGGTCCATCTATAGGGGTAGGGCTAGGCTGTGCTGTTGTGGTTTAATCAGTGTATTAGGTCGGACCACAGGGAATGTCTCGAACGAATGCTGGGAAGGAAGCTCCTCGAGGCCAGCACCAGCAACAACAACATCAGCTGCACTCGCCCTTTGGAGGCGTGTCACCGTCACCATTCTCGCAGGCTCCTGCTCAGCCTGATGGACATCACTATCAACAGCCACAACAACAGGGAGAGGTCCAGGATAAGGTTCGAGGTAGTAGGTCGGGGTGTTATGCCCTTGGATGGTCCTATTATAGTAGGTACTAAGCCGACGCCCTCGGGGGGAGGGTTTGCTGATCAGCTCGTTGGGGCTGCTTTCAATGCGGCGGCTAAGACGGCTTTTGGTGGTTCTGCCCAAGGGGGTCAGGGTAGGGCCAGGGTTTGTAGGATGGTGGTCGCTGCATAGGAAGGGTATTGTTAGGTAACAATAACGACGAGATGGTAGGAGCTGTGATGAGCCAGGTAATACTTATGCTGGTCCTCGTCGGTAGTACTACTGCTGTTCAGGTTGGGCAGAACCTCTACCAGCAAGCGGAGGAGTCGGGGTGGACCAAATTCATACCCTGGGGGTTCGATGGTAGGAGGCCACTCAGAAGAAGAGTCGTTATGGTCGATGGTCTTTAGGTCTTCGGCCATACTTCAATATCACCCACAGTTACATTAAATGGAAGTGCTTGTTCTTGATGGTACCCTTTGTGAAGTAGGCGTCTTAGGGTGGTAGTATCAGCTGAGCTTAGGAGTTCCCTCACTATAGAAGAGTGCGTACAAAGTGTGTAGAAACCAATGAAAAAATTCCCGAAAAATCCTCAGAATTTTCATATTTTCACCACCACACTTACTTGACCATGTGCATGTCTTCCCTATTGTGGTCGTCGTAGGCGCTTATTCCAACCGGGCAGGAATCAGAGGCATTATAGTAGTGATGGCGCCAATGAGATGGATAACGTAAGCTCCGGATGGCCCTCTGGGGGGGAGCGAACTTGGTGGTGGTATCTCAGTTGCAAGCCCCGACGCAGCGGTCGGCGGACCCGAACGAAGGTGTGGCTTTGCGATTTGTAGTATATGTGGTAGAGGAAGTGTTGGGAAGTGTAGTATTGAGGTACCCGACAGGAGACCGGATATGTACATCCCCTTGATGAGCTTCATTTCGTACGTCCTGGCATTTGCGGTCATCAAAGTGAGATGGGAAGTCCATGTGTGGAATTAGAGTGTTGGTTCCCCCTCAGGGTGCAGCTGATGACGGCTCGTTCCATCCTGATATACTATACGATACGGCTACTTTTGCAGCGGTACGGAGGCCTCTCCCGGTGAGTATGAGATCTTCCCTGGGTTAGGTCCTGTCGGTCATTGAGCTCGTCTTGGCTAGGGCGGCGGGGTACTTTGTAAGTATGCGGAGGTAAGGGGTAGTAGTGAGATGGGCAGCAGCACTGTGGGGAGGGCGGTGGTCTGTTGTCAGTTTACGGTTATTGGATTTGGTATGTGTTATCGGCTACAAGTACTTTCACTTGTCAGTGTACTGTATAATGAGGATAGTCCTGTCGAGCAAAGTCCCCACAGTAGGCCGTCTCATTTGGCGAAGGAGTGGTATGATATTGTCGTTTTTAGTCGTATTTTTGGTGGGGTCTGCTGGGTTACCTATCTATAGCTGCGGCATATGCGTGTCTGGTATCCCTACAGTACTTCACGACGTGAGTGTTGGTAGTAGCTTGTGGTGGGTCGATGGTCCCTGGTCGCAGATACAAGACGGCTATGCAAGCTCACTTGGAGGTGTCGGGAAGTCACACGAGCATCCTCATAAAATACGTGGTCATCGCTGTCGCCTTATGCCAGGTAGTATCCTCGTGGACCTAGTTTGTATCTTACCAGCTTGAACCTTAGATACCACTGTGTTGGCTGCTAGCCCCGCCGCTGACCAATGTGACGAGCTGAAGTGCCGGTAGGGGTTCCTTTTTACGGTTGAGTACTATTGATGTGGCCCTCGTGCCTCGCGCCATTTTCTTATACCCTCACAGTTCCTCGTTGAGCTTGGTCTCCAGCGTGTTGCAGTTCTTACCTTTTTTCCGATATGTTGGAATACTGATGGCCGCCGCGGCTGAGCAAATGAAGATCAGGGAAGAAGGTGTCAGGATGGTATTGAGGGAACGGCTTGGAAAGAGGCGGCCATTGGCTGGTAAGACCGTTATGCGAAAATTGCAACTTGTGAATCGCTTCGCTCCGCTAGGATTTAGTCTTAATTTTTGATTGACAGGTGAGTATCCGTACCACTCATGCGATGCGGCCTTGCCTTGTACGATGGAGGAGCTCCTTGGTGGCTCGTCGTGCCCTTCGGGGGTGGGAGGATTGACTCACAGGCGAGCGGCATCGGAGCCGGGCGAAGGGGGACAGCAGCTTTGTGCAACGACAGGGCCGTGCCTGACCGCTGGGGTGGCCTTCCTATGGTCATCGATTTGGTCATGCTGTTGAGTCTGGCCGAAGCTGTGGTGACACGCCAACGCCCAGGGGGGAAGTGGAGGGTCCCCGATCAACTGTGTCCTCCGTGGGGCTCATCCAGGGTCCACCCCAGTGGGAGTTGGTCGCTGGACCGCTGAGGTATGTGCCGGGCTCAAGCGATGGTAGCTTGTCGTCGTCGTTGTCGAGGGAAGGGAGGAAGTTGGAGGCCGCGGATGAGCTGCATCATAAGGTGGGTATTCTGGCTTGGAATGTGCGGCTCGTACTCGCTCTAGGTACACCGTTTGAACGATTGTGGAGAAGGAGCTGAGGGAGATCCTGCTGGTCCTCAGTTGGTGGTCCGAGGGCCATTGTCCTTGACGCCGCTGGTCACGCCGCGGTCGGCTGAGGGTGGTGTGGATGTGAAGTGGCGGAAGTGTGGTATCAGCACCCATGTGCAGACGTTGGAGGTCCCTAGAAAGACTCGTAAGGTCCATACTGAGAGTTCAACGAAGGTAACGGCGGTGCCCAGGAGCTGGGGTCCTGCCAGTTATCCCACCCGGTACCTACAGTTAGGACCTCATCATGAGAGGCCTTGCAGTGGTGGTAATCTAAGAGCCGTTCGAGAGACGACTAAGCGGAGGGGCCGACCTAAGGAGTTGCCTGACAAGAGCCTCACGCCGGGGAAGAGGGTGTCCTTTGGCCGCCACACCCGAGGTCATCAGGTGCCTCTCAAGCCGTTGCCTCATCTGAGACGACTACCTGAGCTACTACGGTGCTGTGGGTCTTGGTCGGACTCGGAAGTGATCGTTGAGAAGTCTCCACCACCACCTTGTTCCCGAGCTCGACGATCGGCATCAACGCCACGTAAGTTGGTAATGGAGGAGGAGTTGAAGCTGCCGGGACGGCGGCGGGTGGTTAGTGGTGGTCCTCAGAGGGAGGGGCTATTGCCCCCTCGTAAGCCACGGAAAGGGTACTCAGCGGCCCGACAGAGGGTTGTCAACAGAGCTCGAGAGAGGTATGTGCTGAAGAAGAAGGTGTTCAAGTCGTGGGTTGAGATAAAGCGGCATATGCAGGCTCGTAGGGATACCCAGAGAGCCGTTATGAACATCCGTGGGAAGCCTCCGGTGCCAGCAGTACCCCCGCCTGACATTTGCCACACGAGAACCTCTTTACTGCGGAGTTCAGCGAAGTTGGCGGTTCCCCTAGTTATTATGGAGACTACCAGACCTGGCAGGCCCTCGAAGGTGTCAATTCCCTCGAGGAGCCCTCCTAGGCCCAAGGACGATGGCTGTGCCTTCTGTATGGATGCGCAAGTGGTGAGTGATGTCCGAGCTCGGTATGCGGCATGGGTGGGGAGGGTGACAAGGCCGCCGTTGAGGCCTGTTGGGGTTGTGGAAGCCAGTAGCAGCAGTGGGGGTGGACAGCACTTGGGTGAGTACACTGTTGGCAATCAGCATGCATAGTTGACGACCAGTTGTTGTTGATGTCCTTCAACGTGTTGGGTTGGAGACTTTGCCGAGGCAGTGAATGGTTCAGCTTCGACTCTCCTCCGACTTGTACTCTCTTTATTATGACTTCCCTCCGTCCGAATATCATTCTCCTCAAGCAGGGTACTGATTCCTCTCAGGGTGAGGCTGGGGTCGTCTTGGTAGGAGGTCTTGAGAGCTCCCCTTAGGTATTCCGCAGATTATTTCTAACATAAACGCTTGTGAGGTCATCGCGGATATCGTCCGAACTACGTTGGGTAAAAGGAGTGGTATGGGTTGTAACTGCTGCTTTCAGATGGTGTTCAGGTCCGAGAGGTATGGACAAATTAATTCACTCGGCCAATCGCGAGCCGACTATCACTAACGATGGCGCTACCGTAATGGGGCTCCTCAATATCAGCCATCCGGCGGCTAAGTTGATGACTGACATCTCGAAGGCCCAGGATGATGAAGTGACGGAGGGATGGTATGGGAGAATCGGTGGTTATTATTGGTGTCAGGTTGGAGACGGCACTACGTCGGTGGTGTTGCTGGCGGCTGAGCTGTTGAAGGAAGCGAAGATGTTCCTCGAGGAAGGCCTTCCCCCTCGTGCTCTTCTCAAGGGCTATAGGAAGGCGCTCGAGCTTGCACTGAGTAAGAATGCCTAGATGACAGTCTTGATGGTAGCGCTCGCCATTCTAATCGATATCTTGCGTTCGTTGTTGATGGGAATATGTTGTTGTAGATAAGTTAGAAGAGGTGGCCGTCGATCTGACTGCCAAGGCCCCTGAGGAGAAGAGGGCGATGCTCGTCAAGTGCGCCGAGACTACTCTCAATAGCAAACTGGTTAGTGGTCAGAAGAAGTAAGGGCGGCCCTTGTGGAGTCTTTAAAGGAATTGAAGTTTTGTTCAGGTTCTTCTCTGAAATGGTCGTATCTGCCGTGCTGATGTTGGACCAGGATTCTCTTCCTGTGAACATGATTGGGTTCAAGAAGGTCCCTGGTGGTTCCCTCACCGAGTCGAGGCTTGTCGATGGAGTTGCTTTTAAGAAGACCTTTTCCTATGCTGGTAAGAGTTCATACCGCTCCTCGGTCGGATCATATCGTCATCATCATCAGGTTTCGAACAGCAGCCTAAGTTCTTCAAACACCCCAAGATTCTTCTACTCAATTTGGAGTTGGAGTTGAAGGCGGAAAAGGACAACGCCGAGGTAAGTGTGGTCGCTGGTCGTGATGGTCGGGACAGGAGGGCAGGTGCGTATTTCGAACCCCGACGAGTACCAGGAGATTGTCGATGCTGAGTGGAACGTCATTTACGAGAAGCTCGATAACATCGCCAAGAGCGGTGCTCAAGTGGTCCTATCCCGTCTGCCCATCGGGGACCTCGCCACGCAGTACTTTGCTGATCGCAACATTTTCTGTGCTGGTAGAGTTGACCAGGATGATATGAACCGGACTCTACTCGTAAGGGGTATACTCGTGTGGGCCTGTTCTGCAGTGTGTGTTGATATCAGGCTGTTGGCGGTTCCGTCCAAACCACAGTCAATGGTCTTACCGATGACGTTTTGGGAACTTGTGGAAGTTTTGAAGAAGTTCAGATTGGCAACGAGCGTTATAATATATTCCATCAGTGTCCCCAGTCTAAGAGTGGTAATAGCCGTCTGCTTGGCTCACACCTCAGCGTATGGCTTTGAGCTCAGCTACTATCATCCTTCGTGGAGGCGCTGCTCAGTTCATCGAAGAGGCTGAGCGTTCTCTGCATGATGCTGTTATGATCGTTAGAAGGGCTCTCAAGTGCTCCAAGGTAGGGAGGGTCCCCCCTGCCCCTACCCTACTAGGTCCTCTTTAGATCGTTGGTGGAGGGGGTGCTATAGAACTTGAGCTTTCACGTTACTTGCGTGAATATTCGAGGACGTGTACTGGAGCCGATCAGGCTGTTATTAACTACTATGCTAGGTGAGGGAAGGGGTCTTGTTGTAGTTGATGATCGAGGGCCTCCCTTCAGGGCGTTGGAGTGCATCCCTCGTACGTTAGCTAGGAACAGTGGGGCGGACGCTACTGACCTCCTCAATAAGCTCCGATATAAGCACGCTGAAGGTGGGCTAGAGGGGGTAGAGGAGGTAGGAAGTGGAGATGGTGTGGTAGGACTACCTGGACGATGGTATGGTGTGGACTGTTACAATTGTGATATCACTGAGACTGTTGAGAACTTCATTTGGGAACCGGTGGTTGTGAAGCGAAATGCTCTGGCGGCTGCTACTGAGGTGAGAGTATCTTTTGGGGGTAAGATACGGAATAGGCCCAATTGTGTACCATTTAGGCAGCTTGTATGATTCTGAGTATTGACGAGACTGTCACCAACCCGAAGTCGGAACAGCCAGTAAGTTGAATCAGCTTCGCTCCGCTAATAATTTGGTGATTTTTATCCCTTTAGGGTGGCAAGGGTGGTAAAGGAGGCAGGCCTATGGGGAAGGGCATGGGTCGTCGATAGAAGACTTCCTATACGTATAGCTGTGTTAATGAGTTAATAAACACCTTTTCAAGTGCGCCGACGACCTATAGTAGGTTTTCTACTGTACTGTGGTAGTTGAGTAGTAGTTGGTAACTGAGGGGAGGTGTGGTAGTAGTAGTTTACGGGGGGCTTATGGCATCGACCACGGCCCACAAGGAGGAGGAGGGGAGGCCCTTCCCCGACCCACCGTTGGAAGCGTTTTCGGTCTATGGTGGTCTTGAGCTGGATGGGTATATAAGAGAACTTGGGGAAGTGTACTGGAGGCATCGAGTAGTAGTAGTTGTGGTGGTATCTGTTGATGGAAGTGGTCAGCAGGTGTCCTCTAGCAACAATAACCTGTCGGGTATCGGTCGTTGGAAGCTGCCCCCACCGGTGAGGACCATGGCACCTAGTGTTCAGCTAGGCACTACGGAGGAAACCCTGCAAGAACAGCAGGAGGGTAGGGCTGGGCGTCGATGGTAGTTTTACAGCTGTCGTTGCTCATAGTCCCGACGCCATCGCCATCAGTTAGCAGTAGTGAGGAATCGGCAGTTCCGGAGGAGGGGAAGGGGGGTGTGGCTCGGTTGGAGAGGCCGAAGAAATGCTTCCTCCATAAGAAGCCCCGACCACATACGTGCCCTAAGTGTCGAAGGTATGCTCAGGAAATGGAGGTCTTTAATAAGGGCCTCATTGAGATGGCTGGTAGCAGCAGTTAATATAGTGGGAGTGTACCGAAACCTATGCAGATCCGACCAGGAAGGCAACGAGTGAATCAACTAAGGGTGAGGAGGTTGCTTCTGTAGCGGGGGTCGACGTTGATGGTACTGGAGCCCTGGTTGTGGTGAACCAAGGCCCCTTATATGGCTTGTACCCGACGCTAGTGCAGAATATACAATCATCGGAGTAAGACGGCTAGGGTCGGCCCTATAGGGTCTATGGTGGTGTTGGGGTAGTTACTTTAACAAGGGTTTGAGAGGGATGAGTACAGTTGAGGAGGTGGTGGAGGAGGTCGAGAGGGCGGTAGAGCATGCTGAACCGTGAGTGGAGGGATGAAAATGACAGCGGAGCGAAGCTGGATTTGTTAGATATAACGTGGGTGCGCTGAACATCCCATCGACGATGTTCTGTTGTTTGTATAAACTCTGTAGTAAAGGACAAGCCCGGCCGAGTTGGAGCTTGTCCCTAGGTACGCTGGGGCCAAGACCAGGCGAGTTGCGGCGCATACTGGGGAGGAAGGGGAGTCCGTAGGTTGGGGTGGTGGTAGTGGTAGCAGGCTACTAGGGCTAGTCGTAGGTATGTAGTTTGCCTGGGGCTACTCTATCTGCGGTGTGTGGCCCAGCCGTCGAGCCTATGGACGTGGTTTTATCCAGTATTGTTCGACACCACGGTAGGCGTCTCCTCGCTGGGCTAGGGAGTTATGACGCTTTGGATAGGTCTTCCACCCGGAGGAGGTTACGGGAGAGGCCCAGGCGGCTGAGTCGATGATGTTGGGCCGTTACGCTGAGCTCCTGTTGCTCACACATAAGTACTTCACAGTTAACCTCAACAGGTGGGAGGGGAGGGGCTATTGTCTCGATAGAGTGGAATGGGGTGCTCTCAGACTGCCCGAGACGATTCTGCAGAAGTACGGTATGCGGTGTATATTACTGGACACGGAAGGGTGTCGGATTAACGCCTCCCAGCACCCGGAGGCTGCCGATCAGATCAGCATTGTGGGCTCTTATGTAGGAGGGGGCGTAGGCTGATCGTGGTGTTGATTCCGATATAGGTGTTCGTTCGTGATGAGGAGTCGGGTGGTTGGGAGCTAGGGCAAATTGTGCCGGGAGGGGACGCCACACTGGGGCTTGTTGAGGTAGTATAAGCAGTGTTGGAATATATGCTTGCTTTCCTCAACTGAGCTTGATCGTTATAGAAGTTTATATACGAATTCGGGTGGAAGCGTACGGAAATGAATAAGAATTTCCCAGAATTTTCATATTGTCACCAACACGTGTAGTTTCCCACACAGCATAGTAGTCGCTTCTTGCCTCTTCTCAGGTTCGCCTTGCATCTGATACTAGGCAAGTGCATTGGTCTTCTCTGAGGTCGTGTCGGGATGTTGCTGCTGCCCGTAGAGCTGTAGAGGCTGAGGCTTTCACGAAGGAGGAAGGTAGTAGGGTCGACTGATCTGCGGACTGTGCACTAGGGCTGTTCATTTAGCTGCGGCTAGTGCTCGTAAGGAGGCCCTCAAGCAGTGGCGGCAACAACAAAGGGAGTTCGCCAATGCTCGAGCCTTCCGAGTGTATGCGGGTTGGCAGAGTAGAGGAGTTGTGGATGATGTAAGTGAGTTGGTGGTTGGGAGCTCTCATGGTTGGTGTAGATACATGGTGAAGACCTACAGTCGCTACCCCAGGCTGATGTAGGGGAGGCCGAGGCTGCTGCTCCTACTAAGAAGAGGAGGGTCGTCGTTTCTAAGGAGTAGTGCCCCCGTTTTGGTGAGGGCTGAGGAAAAGGCTTTGACGTTGTCAGGTTCCGCCAACAGCAAGACGCTATGTTGAAGCGTAAGTATATTGAAGGCTCTGTTCCGAAGGTAGAGGGCGGTCGAGAGGACCAGGAGGAGCCCGACGTCGGCTACATAGGCTGATCGTTTCTATTGCATTTACAGAGTGCAGCGTTGAACTCATTGGTGATCTTTCTGGGATAGTTTTTAATGGCACCGGTCATCTCGGTTCCTGCTCGAGAGCCTTCCCCGACTTTGGTGGATTTCTGCTCGGCCAGCTCGGGTGCTGCGGGCGCGGCATTCAGCACACTTATAATGTGAGAGGCCTCCTAGTGTATCGAGGGGACGGCACTATTTAGGTACCCTCTGGATACAGTCAAGACTCGACTGAACGTGGGAGTGGATGAAAATGGGCAGCCCTACGATAAGGGTTCGTTGGAGGTCCTCATCCGTACTGTGCGGTAGGCGGCAGCAGCTTTCGAGTTGATTCGTCAAAGGCTATTGCTAGGTCTGGCGGAATCCCTGCGCTCTATCGTGGGTTGACGGCGAAGCTCTTCCACAGTGTGCTGCAGAAGTTTGTCTACTTCTATATGTACAGCGCCCTAATTGTGAGTCGGGGCATGGGGTTGGTGATGGAGCCGTAGTGTGTTCAGAGAGTTTATCGTAAGGAGGGGAAGCTGTCGGTGTCGGCCAATCTGGTTTTGGGGTACCTAGCAGCTCTTGGGAGCGTCTTTGTGACAACACCTGTTGAGATAGTCCAGACTAGGCAGCAGGTAGGGGTGGCGGTCAGCTAGTTGTAGTTTTGATTGTATCTTGTATAGGTGGGCAAAACAGAGGGGCATTTCCTGCGTCATCTCACCCGAATTGCTCTCAATGAGCCGATGGACCTGTACGCTCATCGAGAGGCTTTCGTTCGATATCATCGTCGGTGCAGATACTCCGGAATCGGCTCCAATATTATACTATGTGTGAATCCCGCCATTGAGTACACTACTTTCGACCAGCTCAAGAGGCCCTTCCTCAGAGGACGGTATTTGCGGCTCTTTACTGCCTTTCCCATCGCTCGGTCGTGTAGGTCTAATCTCACGTCGATGGAAGCGTTCTGGTTGGGAGCTGTTGCTAAGGCAGTCGCGACTGTCTGCACATTCCCGTAGTGATGAGCCTATTGGTGTCATCACTTTATGCCGTTCACAGATATGTTAGAGTGAAGGTGTTGCAGCAGACTAAAGGTCAGACGAGTGACTCCTCTGAAACGGGGCCGAAAAAGCTACTTAGAGACATGTGGAATGACGGAGATGGAAGACTCGCTGGTCTTTACAAGGTGGGAAAAGGCTGTCACTTCTGAGCACTTTACGGGAGCTTCAGGGAATGAGCCCGCAGTTATATAAAGGAGTGCTGACGGCGGCGTTGATGTTGATGGCAAAGGAGAAAATAGATCAGAGTATGAGGAAGATCATCTTGAGACGTTAAATTGTGTGTTTTTGTAATGGTTTCAACTGGGACCGTTTTGTGTGTACAGTAGTGTGGGAAAATATCCATTTGTATATCTCATAAGTAGACAAATGAGTGCCTCTAGGGGTAGGAAGAACAACCGAAAGGCAAGATAAAGATATTACGAGGAATTGTAGAAATTAACAAACCAAATTGATGAAAAAACTCAAAACCTTTGCTGTACTCTCGCGTAGCCTGCAACTGCAGGCCCTGGAGCTAGATAAGTGATGTGGACGGTGTTTCCAAATTTGCGTGAAACCCACGCGTCCTTGACAGAATGAATACTGGTATACTACTAACAACGTTATTCGCGTGGTAAACTTTATCCCTGTAATAGAGTATGTAATGTAGAATACCCCTACAAACATGTCCTAGAGGAGACCTCCCAGTACAAACTAGAAGAACCAGTGTATGAAGCAGGTTGATTAATGCTCTCGTCGCCCTTCTTTAATGTTTTCAGCGACCCCATCGTTTCCTTTCATAAAATCCTCGTTGTGACGTTTTGAACAGGAGGAGCCAATCGGTGTCAATTTGACACTGTCAAATATTCAACAAACTTTCAACGCAGATCTCCAAGCGTCACTGAAACCTAATTGGAAGGAGAGCATCCCTCCTCTACAAACTATCAAGTAGCACTACAGATACTAAATCGTTGGTTACATCAGTGAGTAGCGTAATATGTGAAAAATGATGAAATACGTAATTACTTGATGAATAGCATCTCCTGATATGTGGGAAGAGGCCAATATTCGTCAGCTAAAATTTGCTCCAATGAATCGACAGTATCCCTCAAATCTTTCATAGCCGGCCTCATCTCATCAGCAGCAAACCTCGCATGAACCATCGGATCGTCGCTGTTGTCCTTATGGTCAACCATTGCCTTCAAAGCTGCCAAAGCCTTCCCCAAATGCTCTATAAGCTGACTGACCTCGTACAGCCTAGCAGTTGTAAACTCAGGTGCCAACCCAGTAGCAGACTTCAGCCTTTCGACGTTCACAGCGAGATCAGTCTGGTACTTGATACAGGCGGGGAGGATCATAGTATCTACAACAACACCATTGTGAACAAGGCTGTCGACATCTACACATACTGGCAATCCTATAGGCGCATCGAGCTTCGACCGCTATGCGATTGAAGTATATCTCCAGTAGGATATTCTTCTTAGCAGTGAGCTCCGACTGATTCATCACTCCGCAGCTCTCAAACAGTGCGATAGTTTCCGGAGTCGCAAACTCAGCAATAGCCTAAAACCACAATACGGTACCAACATGCTCCAACAGGCGACGGCTCACTTACCTCAGGAGATTTGGCAAGTATTTTCAGGCCGCGACTGGCAGCCTCCTCCTTCCAAGCGTCGGAGTATCCGTCACCATTGAATACCACACGTCCATGATCTCTATACACCTCACCGATGATCGCCTTCGAAGCTTCCTCAAGCTGCATACCGTTCTTGATACGCTCCTCAAGAAGACCACCCAAGTACGCCAAACTCTGCGCCATGATAGTGTTCAGCACGATCAATGAGGGTGACAAGGACTGGCTGGAGCCCACTGCTCTGAACTCGAACTTGTTGCCCGTGAAGGCGAACGGGCTAGTCCTATTCCGGTCACCAGCGTCCTTGTTGAGAGAAGGCAGAGTCTTCGCACCCAGAGTCATCGAAGTGCGTTTAACTCGAGTCTCCAACTTGTACTCGCCCATATCGGACTCTCCAGCCTTGGTCGCCGACTTGATCTGCTCGAATATGTCAAAAAGCTGATCACCGAGGTAGATAGAGATGATAGCAGGAGGAGCTTCCTGCGCACCTGAGGCACGAAGGCTAAACCAAGTTGATTCTACTCGAGCTACTTACCCAATCGATGGTCGTTGGAAGCACTAGCAATACTGCCTCTGAGGAGACCAGCGTGAATATCAACGGCACGAATGACAGCAGCAATAAAAAACAAAAATCTTGTGTTGGCTCCTGGATTCTCTGTAGGCTCGAAAAAGTTGCCTTGAGTAGAATTTCCAATGCTCCAGTTGACATGCTTGCCGGAACCGTTGACACCAGCGAAAGGCTTCTCGTGGAGAATAGCTGCGAAGCCGTGCTTCTCCGCAGTGTTCTTGAGGACTTGCATGATCAAATGCTGATGGTCCGAAGCTATGTTGGCGGTCTCAAAGAGAGGGACTATCTCGAATTGGCCGGGGGCGACCTCATTGTGTCGGCATTTGATAGGCACACCCAACTTGTAGAGTCGACTCTCAGTCTCCGTCATGCACTTGAGGATGCGGTCGGGGATGGCACCAAAATAGTGGTCGTCGAACTGCTGCGACTTTGGCGGGACGCAACCGAATAGAGTTCGATCGCAGATGATCAGATCAGGCCTTAGGGCAACAAGACGCTTATCGACTAGGAAGTACTCTTGTTCAGGTCCACAATAGCTAGTGATGTTACTGATAGGTTCGGACTCGGAGACAAAATGAGACAGCACTCGCCGAGCCGCATCTTCTACTGCCTGCATGGACCTCAGCAGTGGAATCTTCAAGTCGATAGCGTCACCAGTCCAAGAGACGAAAGCAGTGGGAATACATAGCGTCATAGTGCCACCCTTCTCAAGGACATAAGCAGGAGAGGTGACATCCCATGCGGTGTAACCACGAGCCTCGTAGGTGCCTCTGATACCACCATTAGGGAAGGAGGAGGCATCGGGCTCACCCTGGATCAACGACGACCCGTCGAACCTGGTCAAGGCAGAGCCGTCACCACTAGGCTCAATGAAGCTCTCATGCTTCTCGGCAGTAGAGCCGGTATGGGGGTAGAAGACGTGGGTGAAGTGGGTGGCGCCGAGACCCACAGCCCAGTCCTTCATAGCCGCAGCCACGGTGTCGGCCAGGGAGGGGTCGAGAGGTTCGTGGTTCTCAACAGTGCTGTGCATCTGCTTGTAGATTGAATGTGGCAGGGCATCACGCATGACCCTATCAGAGAAGACATGCATGCCAAATGAGTGCTTGGTGGTCTTAGTGTCGACACCATAGGAGAGGTCACGATTGTGATCGACGATAGCGGATACAGCGGAGACTCTATTGGAGGCCATCGTTAACAAATGCTGACAGTACTGTGGTGAATCTAATATGCGATAGCGTACTGATGACACTTGTGTAGACATATCTAGCTTGCTGCACTTTGAAAAATCGTTCCCTCAATCATGAGCACTGTAAGAAGCGCACGTCCGCTGTGTACATAACTCGCTCGCCCAGTCGATCGATTAACGCTATTCCTTTCGTGGTTCTCCACGTTTGTAAGGTAGTCCCGTCAAAATGGCCGCGAAATCTGGCTTGGCCGCTGGCATCAACAAGGGTCACACGCTCAACGTGCGTCAGCCCAAGGCACTGAAGTCTTCTTACTCTGCTAAGAAGCACCTCGCCCGTGAGGTCGCTCGTGAGGTCTGCGGATTTGCTCCCTATGAGCGTCATATGATGGAGTTGATCAAGATCGGCTCTGCTGCTAGCTTCAAGCGTGCTCTCAAGGTAGGTATCACTTCCGTGGCTTTTATAGTTATCGTGGGATACAAAATTCCTATTCAAATTTGTTCACTGAGAAAAGTTGTCTTTCGTATAGACGTTTTCGACTTGTTCTTGTTTTCAGTACGGCAAGAAGCGTTTGGGTACTCACAAGAGGGCTAAGGCGAAGCGTGAGGAGCTCCAGGCTGACATCATGGCCCAGCGTAAGAAGGCTCATGCCGCCCACGCCCATCACTAAGTGGAGACTACACTCTACTAAACTGAAGGCTACTACTACGACGACGATGACCATCTCTCTGGTTGGCAGCTCTTGGCTTGCCAAATGCTGTTTCCAGGTCTCGACGGGAACCATTCCTTCCTCGTCGTGTTGAGTTAAGTAGACTGGTGTTCATCATAAAGGGACTGCAGGGATCTGTTGAATCGGGCATTGCTTCTTGGTAGCTCTGCCCGAATTAGGCCTGCAATAGTGAATGGAGGCAGATTAGCGGCATTATAGCGTATTTGTTGCGATTGCCGTCAGTCGTCTGATCAACAGCTCATCACTACTACTCCATGATGACTATCTGTTATGCATAGTTCACTCTGACTTTCAGTGACGAGTAACAACTTAATCACCATCTTTCGTCTGAGACCCTTAGCTGCTACTGTAATGATGATTTTGTTCGCATAGTTCACTCGTATTGCCAGTGACGATTACTACAATCACCATCTTTCGTCTGAACTACACATGACCTCGCCTGTTTATACTACCTGTTTCGGCTTATTCGTTGCCATCAGGAGGGAAACGCAGGCAATATGCATCATCTCCCCTCACTCCCATTACCGGCGCACGATGGTCTTCTTTGTCGGTTTAGTTATGTGAGGGATAACTCGACTGTCTACGCCTGTTTATACTACCTGTTTTGGTTCATTTGTTGCCATCAGGAGGGAAACGCAGGCAATATCATCTCCACTGCTCCCCATTACCGATGCTCCAGCTCGAGTCGGGCGTCGGTTTAGTTGAGTCAGTTACACCTGAAAGTCAGACTTCAACACTCAGAAGTGCCTTGAGTTTAGTTCTTGTCAATATGGTATAAGGGAACAATATTTCCTCAGGAGTTTTTGATCATATTTTGTGTTGATCATGACGGTTGGTAGACAAAAGGCTGTGATGTCGATGATCGACCGTAGTACCGATACGGCTCACGATGCTGATCTTACTGAGACCCACAACGACTTCGGCAAGTACGTCTTCTCACAGAGGGTCATGCAGAATCGTCTGCCGACTGACGTCTACAGGCAGCTAAGGATCTCCATGGAGGCCGGTAAGGAGTCGCCTCCTACATTCCTTATGACATTCATAGTGTTTAGGGAGGCCTTTGGACCCCTCTCTGGCCGACACTGTAGCTGCAGCTATGAAGGACTGGGCTGTGGGTCTCGGCGCCACCCATTTCACCCACGTCTTCTACCCCCATACCGGCTCTACTGCCGAGAAGCATGAGAGCTTCATTGAGCCTAGGGGTGATGGCACTGCCTTCACTATGTTCAATGGGAAATCCTTGATCCAAGTAAGGGTCGAGGAACTACTATTTCTGATCACATCTACACCTTAGGGTGAACCCGACGCCTCCTCCTTCCCCCATGGTGGTATCAGAGACACCTACGAGGCCCGTGGGTACACAGCCTGGGATGTCACAGTGAGTACACATACTCCCCTATCTCCTCCCACAGGACCGTCCTCAGTCCCCTGCATACCTCATGGAGAAGGGCGGCTGCCTTACTCTGTGTATTCCAACGGCCTTTGTTTCTTGGACGGGGGAGGCCATGGATCTGAAGACCCCCTTGCTGAGGTCCATGCAGGTGCTCCCAACACAACAGCATCGTCATTGCCATCACTTTCCCTTCAGGCTGTCGCTGCTGCCGCTGAGAAGATGCTCACCCATTTTGTTGGAGATGAGCCGATCGGACAAGTCGTTTCCTTTTGTGGAGCAGAACAGGAGTATTTCTTAGTAGACAAGAAGCTCTTCGCGATGAGGCCCGACTTGGTCATCTGCAACCGCACTCTCTTCGGCCTGTGCCCAGCCAAGACTCAGCAGTTCGACGACCACTACCTTGGGGCCATCCCAGACCGCATCCTCAAGTGCATGACGGAGACTGAGAGTCGACTCTACAAGTTGGGTGTGCCTATCAAATGCCGACACAATGAGGTCGCCCCCGGCCAATTCGAGATAGTCCCTCTCTTTGAGACCGCCAACATAGCCTCGGACCATCAGCATGTCCTCATGCAAGTCCTGGACAACATCGCCAGTAAGCACGGCTTCAAAGCTCTATTCCACGAGAAGCCCTTCAAGGGAGTCAATGGCTCTGGTAAGCACGTGAACTGGAGTCTGGGGAACAACACTCAAGGTAGGCAGCATCATCATCTACTTCACTACTACTGTCCCCCCACAGGCAACCTTCTCAACCCGACCGACAGCCCTGCTGAGAACTTGCCGTTTTTGATGTTCCTGTCGGCTGTTATTCGTGCTGTCGATCTCCATGCTGGCCTCCTTAGGGCGACCGTGGCCTCGGCTTCCAACGACCATAGACTCGGTAGAAGTAGTCTTGGCCCCCCTCTCCCCGTATTCATCCCTCTTAGGCGCCCAGGAGGCTCCCCCGGCCATCATTTCGGTCTACCTCGGTGAACAACTGCAGGATGTATTTGAACAAATTCGCGCGACTATCAATTCGGAAGGATGCTCAGGTGGATACAACATCGAGACGAGGGTGATGAGCTCATCCGTGTTTTTCATGGTGGACGATGCTGCTCCTCTGTTGCTAGGTTCACCGGAGTGCCATGACAGTCGGAGCTCATCCTCTGCCCACTCTCAATAAGGATGCTGGGGACAGGAACAGGACGAGCCCGTTCGCTTTCACAGGAAACAAGTAAGTCATCCCTCTGGTCGGCCTCGATGAGGACTCTGGTCAGGTTCGAATTCCGTGCTGTTGGTTCGAGCGACTCCCTCTCGCCGGCCCTAATAATGCTGAACACAATGATGGCCCAGAGTTTGAAGGCGATGTGTGCCCAGCTGGAAGAGTACCTGGAGGGAGGCCTCTGTCTCGACGCTGCGGCCAAGGCTGTGATAAGGGACACCTATAGGGATCATGGCCGTGTTGTTTTTAATGGTGATGGCTACTCGGACGAGTGGAAGGAAGAGGCAGCTCGTCGTGGTTTGAAGAATCTTGTCAAGGCCCCGGAAGCCCTGGCCGAGTTCGCCACTGAGGAGGCCATCGGCCTCTTTGAAGGGACTGGGGTCATGAGCAAATCAGAGGTTTTGGCCAGACAGAATGTCCTCCTGGAACGCTACACCAACATGGGGCGCGTCGAAGCTGAATGTGCCCATCGTATCGCCCATACCGTCATAGCCCCTGCGTGTCTGCGCTATTTGGCTGAGGTCTCGAGTACTCTGAATTCGGCCAAGGCGGCCGGGGGCGGGGTGCCTCCTAAGTTCGTCCAGGACAAGTATAACGCTGTGAGCAAAGCCATTGATGAGCTTGGTCAGGCTGTGGAGAAGTTGGAAGCAGTCATGAATCACAAGGATGAAGATGCTGATGAAATGGTTCATGCCAGGTGACGATATCTTAGGTTATGGCATGCATGATACGGATTAAGTCAGGTACATAGCCGATGTGTTAGCCCCAGCAACGGCTGAGCTACGTGAGAAGGTTGACGCCATGGAGCTGTTGGTCGCAGATGATTATTGGCCTCTTCCCACTTATCAAGAGATGCTTTTCATGAAGTGATTACTTCCATTGTAATCGTCAATCAATTCTGTCTAAGGGTGGCGACGCCCACGGAATCTCGTCGTCGCTGCGCCCCATAATAGTCATTGTCTTTTCATCTACCCCATAAGCTTGTGTTGTTAACAACACAACCATCATCCACCGTAACAACGTAGGACGAACACGTCATGGTTAACCCAAGCGGGCAAGGCGAGAATCGCGGGCACTACGAAGTCTCTCTCGGATGTTGGCGGTTCGGCGGCTGAGGGACATGCGGTCGGTTTTGATCTCGGGGCCATCGACTAACTCGCGCTAAAGAGGAGAAGGACTAAATCGAGAGACAATTCTAGGGGTACCTTACAGCGCGGTTGACACGGTTGGCGAGATAGGCTTTCTTGAGCTTCTCGAAGGGGGCTTGGATGGCCCTCATATGGGCGATGATGGCGTCGTGGATGTCAGCATCACTCAGGGTCTTCTTGTCGGAATCCTGAAGTATGAGGATAACAGGATGAATCTAAGGGATGGTATGGTACATCTTCATCATCATCGTCAAGATCCTTGTGACTAACTGTGGCCTTCTCCAGGCCGATGGCGACGGCCACAATAAAAAGGACGTGTAAGATTAGATAACGAAAGAGCATTTATGGGAGAGTAAATGGCTGCGATAGGGAGCTGTCTTGGAGACTCTACGACCGGCAACAAGCACGCCGGTGGTGGAAATCCCAACGTGCTCAAAATATGGTCGCCGCTGGACAGGGGTGGGGGGGGCGAGCGAGATTGATATCAGGATGGAAGTATGGTTGGTTGAGCGCGCTCGAAAAAAGTGGTCCTATTTCCAACCCATGACAACTATATAACGCGAGGCACTGATAAGCACACAGTGTCATGGTCATAGCTCAATATCGTCATCACCATCACTATCATCATCGTCGAGATCATCGAAGTCGGGTGGATGCCCGGAGGTCTCATCATCAGCCCAGTCCGGCGACAATGGGGTCTTCTTGGAGTACCTCGGCCAATGAACGTAGTGGGTGCTGATGCCGAGGAGTTTTCACCGCTCCGCTATCCTCTCCTCGAGGATCTTAAGGTTGGCCTCGACATTGGGTGGCACTTCTGAGTTATCTGATGCCTCTTCTCGGTACTTATTCAACAGCTTCAATAGCTTCTTATCGTGGTAGAGGTCATCAATGTACCTGACCATGGTCTTGCTGAGCACAGAGGAGCGGCCATACTGTTTGGTCTTATCGTCCCAGCTCTCCCACTGCTCATTGGCCACATACCGCCAATAGTCATCAGCCTCTAGACGGTCCAAGTGAGGCACCTCGGGCAGGTCGAATGGGAAGGATGCCAGGGCCTGCATCCAGTACCTTCGGAGTGACACTTGAAACTAGGCTAGAAGACGCGGCTCTCGTCTCACAGCAACGACTGCACTTGTGGCGTCTGATCACCGGCCTGGGAAGGTCTCATCGGATACTGTTTGAATGGGGGCCTCTTGTCAAGGGCAGGAAAGAAAAACAGCCCAGGGGTGCTCGGAGGGAAGGCTGCTCCCAGCAGTTCGTGCTCTGAACAGTCCGAGCATAGCGTATATGAGTGCACACTAGGAGACTCACCCATAGTGAATCTGGTGATGTCCACTTCGGATGTATCCATCGCTAACACTCGGAGAGTCTCTGTCAAAGCGAGCTCAACTACGCGAACCCAAGCTCGATTCACATACAGTGCGAACCTGAATGCAGTGGTGTGGCAAGCAATAGGCCAAATTAGCACTCCTTCTGAAGATCGGTCTCTTCTTTGCTACTATATGCGAAGACGAGAACGTCCACTGCGTCATCGAGGACCTAAACAGCCCGTAGTCGTTGGAGGATACATTGGCGCCCACATATTCCTCCATTTGCCCTTCAGCATGGTCTTGGCTAATATGAGGGACGTATTCGAGGCGATCAGAAGTGGACATGTCCTTGCTCAATGCAGGGACTTGCCGATACTCCCCCTCCCTCCGTATTGGAACCTCCATAAACACATCATGCCATCTTGGTTGGATGATCAGGACTTACCTCTTTACGAGACCGTGGTGGAGGGACGTCGTGCGACGTGGTCACCCCTTCTCCTGCAGTGTGGTGGTCTCCCCCCAAGGCTCGAAGCACCTGAAGGCTCCCTGAGTCCGCCCTCCACGAGCAGATGGGAGACGTACAAGATCTTTGATGACTGTTTTTGAAAACCTTTTCCGTGCGGAACCATATGTAACGATGGGCTGCCACGTCAGATCGAGGCCCTCGAGGATAGAGTTAACTGCAAGTGCTGGTAGACCTGAGATTTGGACTAGGCTTGACTATGTTTATCGAGAAAATCTCGTCGGCTGTGTGGTCTAGTGGTATGATTCTCGCTTAGGGTGCGAGAGGTCCCGAGTTCAATTCTCGGCACAGCCCTATTTCTGGATCAGTTCGATGAATTCATCTCGACGAAGTATTCTACACGAGTCTGGCGCCACCTCTCTTTAAATCCAGCCTAAGAGAGGTCATCTGGGTTGCATGCTGGGTAGCATCCATATACGAAAATATAACGGGCTCCTTTCGAAACCTAGCACACACGAATGTCGCATCCGAGCGGGCGTGCGGTAGTCACTGAATAGCGAGCATAGACGCCACCCATCAAGATTGGTTGAGAGGATGCTTTCGTGGCCCACATCTGCTCTGCTTGTGAAAACACTGCGAGATGAGCATCTCGTTTCGCGGCATCTGACGTATTTGTGAATAGAATAATCATAGGCCATTCAGCGATGTGGAGCCCGCTGTCTGTGAGAGCCTCGTAGAACTCAGAGGAAGAGGAATCAAAGCTGAAAATTAGGAGAAGGTAACGTGAAAAATACTACGGCAGTATTGGTAGTACCTCCCAATATGTGGGAGAACACCGGCTATCAACCACTGTGTCAAAGAGCCCGCGTCACACGAGGACAACATCGCGCATGATCGTCGTATAGGGATGTAGTTGGCCTCCACAGCGTCACTACTATCAAGGATCCTGAGGGATTCCAGAGCAAGTTTTTCCGACAAAAACTCTTCTCGACTACGGCAATGCTGTCTGAGAGACTTCGGCGACTCTCTGACCTCCCAAAGCTATTTGCCGAAGCGGCACTTTCCCTAAAGGGATGTCACTTCCATTGAAGTGCCGTCGGCCCGGGGGAAGGAACTCGCCGTGGAAAAGCGAGTACCTGCGGGTAAGCTCGGAAACACGACGAGCAGATGTTTGGAACATCACACTAGCATGGCTGGTCCAGTCTGGTCCGCCGGGCAGCCAATTGTGACTCGTAAAAGCTTAGATAGAGCGGAGTTACGCACTAGGGCAATCTGCGACCTGACTGAGTACTATACCCCTCCCAAAGGGAGGTAGAGCACCTACGATATGGGCTTCCGTGTGAGTCGAGAACGATAGATGGCCTCTCGAATCTCCTCAACCTCTTCCTCGTAGTCATCAATATCGCTGCCCCCCATAGCGAGGACGACTCTTATCCACTGTGGATACCTACATATGAGAACAGCACCTCAACCCGAGTCAACGATCAGTGGTTGATTGCAAATTTCGAAGCACTCCATTAACAGTCTCCCTCCCTTACTCCGGTCTAAATGAGGAGAGATCGGACAGGAAGCCCCTGAGGTCCGAACGGGTGTCTATTTCTCGTCTCAATGGGGAGCGTATCTGCAATGAGGATGCATACTTCCGTGGAGACCGCTCACTCTCACGCTGTTGACGAATTCTGCGATGACGCTGCCGTTGACATCCAAAGTGTCGCCCAGCATATGAACACGTGAAGGGGTCTCTTGATACACTATCGCGGGGAGATGGACGATCTGACCAGGTCCAGAAGAGCTACAACTTCCAACCACCACACCTTCAGCCTTCGAACCAGGTCCCTCCCTCGAGCAGAGTCGACATCAACACGCACGAACGGTATCTACCCGACACGCTCAAGAGGCGCTGACCACACATACAAGGTACCTCTCCGAGACTACTCATGTCGAATCGATTGAGGAGCACCTCTACATCACAACAGTATCTGTTGGGCTTCTATCCACAAACTCCTGCCTCTCGCGAATGATCACTCTGGACTGCTGCACTTCGAATAGGAAGAGCTGCCAATGCCTATCAGGACTCCAGTGCTCTTATGGCGCTTTAGGAAGGCCGTGTAGTTCGACGCATCCACCCAAGCTCCTCCAGCAGAGAGCCCAGCGACCTATTCCGATTCATCCGAGCTGGACAGCCCCATCTCACTGACCTCACACTCTACCCTCATCCTTGCGCGTGTCGTAGCATTCTTCCCGTGAAACCAAGGTGCTCCCCTACAGAGCGTCGCACATAGCAAGCTGAGCAAGCATCTCATCTGCTCAGGATTTGGTGAATGATGATTGACTAACACCACATCATAGAGTAGAAAAGTCGACGTGCTCATCAGCAATGGTTACCATTCTAGGTTCACTCGTGCGAGAAATCTTGCGAGTGCGCAATTTTATAAGATACTCAGCATACGGGGGGGTCAACGAGAGAATCTCTTCATCTCATTTAGAAGCTACACCCGAGGGGCTGCGGTCGCCATAGAGTCTCGAATCCTGGCATGCGCTTGTATGACCGTCTGGACAAGATCTGAGAGCTCATCTCGGGCATGGAGTAGATCTTCACGATCGTGTTCAGGCATCTCTCCACTGAGAAACGCCAGACAGGCTCTCTCAAGTCGCACACCTAAAAATTGCAAACATGTCTTAAATCGCTCCGCTGTTGCCTACGATCCCGCAATAGGCGCTCTAACCGCCTCTCCTGCTCCTCAAAAACCCGACCGAGCTCCTGCTGAGGGTCCCTCGGGACGTCCTCTATATCAGGCTCAGTACTGACATCATCATCACTAACATACACCGCCTCAGAGAGAGTTGCACCTTACAGAGTACATCCAGTAAAACAGTGCTCGATCTTTCTTACTATCATCGGGGGAATTCTCCCGAGGACCTTCACCGTCTCCACCAGGGCTCGTAGGAGGAGACCGACTCATAGAGCAGTCATAAGACCAACAACAGACAAACTGTGAAGAACTCTCCAAAAGGGTAGTCGGCCAACACAACTCCTTTTCTGCTCATCCCCGACTGACGCCTTGACTTTCTTTCGTATCCTCTTGCGGCTCCGTTTTCTCCTCCGTCCTTTCTCCGCAGTAGAACGGTGAGGACTCCTCTCGGATGCTAATGCCCCATTCCCTTTCCAAGGCGTACTCTAGACTAGACAACTGAAGATGAGCAGAGCCACTGTGGAAAACTATGCACATGATCAACCACATAAAATTATGAGAAAATTTTTTCAATGATTTCTGTACATTTCTACCCAGATTCATGTGTAAACTCCTAAGCTGGGCTGAAGAGATCAAACATACATTCCCCCAACACTGACCAGAGCTGTCTGGTTCATAGTAATATAAATAATATCATCACGATAGATCTATTTATATCTAATCCATTTTCATGCGGATACAATACGATAAATGGGTGATAATGGAGTTCCACCCGTTTTACGTGAAGTGGCGTCGTAAAACTCGGTGAAAAACGCGATATTTGCGGTGACATGCAGTAGTCGTGAAATATGTTTTTCACTAGTTTTTTCATATCACGGCCGCCCGTGCTCTATAGGTCTATCGTTATACTATAATGATATTAATACAGATAAACACCTTATAGTAATCGCTGAGTAGTCCTCCTAGTCTTCCTACCGAAATCGTCTCCTCTTTCCTTCGCTTCGCCACCGAGGCCGCATCGGACAATATTTTATCCAAAATGTCATTTCCCATTCTCTTCAGCAATTCTATCTACACATAGAGAATCATCCAGGAACCTATAATGTCCCGGAGGGAACTCATTTCCATTTTTTCGTACACATTCTTCAATCAGTAGTTTCACATTAGAAACATTTTCCCCATTGTTATCAAACCCTGCGGAACGTCATTTCTCAAGGCTAGTTGGGTCCCTGTCCACACATCCAACGATCTCTATATACTAAGCTCACCCTCCTACAGCAGTATCATCCATCTCGTCACCTCCTGGGACCAACGCCTTCAACTGCTCAGTGGTCAGCACATCTGGCAGAGGCGTGGCTTGAGAGACCCCTCCAAGACCTGGGTTCGTCCCGGACATTATGAAGGACTTCCCTTCACCAAATGACGATCGTCCAACTCAACAGCGCCCCTCTCTCAACCACATGTCATACATTAGCAGATCTGAGACCTCTCTGAAGGGAGTCGGCCGACTGATTCACAGCAGCGATGATATCATCATCAGCATCCGTTCGAGCTCTGGTCTCCAGTTGTAGACCTACCGTTGAGCCCCTCCAACTCTCCCCCCTACCGAAGACTACCTTTCTTGATACTGGCGAGCTCTTCCAAAAGGAAGCCTCGGAACTGGTCCTCCTCAGTCACACGGCGGTCGGGAGCACCTGAGCCCATTGTAACTACTAGTGTACGACAATGTCATTCCTGGCATCGACGCGAAATCCACTGCCTTCCTTTTGGAAGACTTCAGACACTCATCACCAGACTAACGTGAAGGAGCTCTGAACAACGCCCAATGAGGAAACCCCTAGCACTACCACTATCAGCTGTGAGTTTCCGTAGAGCTTCCACCTCCTTATCCAGACCCGAGGTCTGTTTCTCGAACGTAGTGCATTCATTGTCTACTTTCCGTTCAAGTCCAAGACCGATCTCTTCCGACCTTTCCGACAACTACTACCACAGATATCATTCAGAACATCTAGTCAGCATACCCCACCCGATGGTCCCTATCCGCCCACACCTGCCGTTCGCCCTTCATCTTCTCCCCCAGCTCCTTAATCTCCCTTTGGAGTGCTGATGCATCCACCAGGAGCTTCGACGGCAGCTCACCCCGAAATTGCAGCATGCCCCTCTCCAGTGTAGTAGTACCTACCATGCCCTCTAGGGCCGACCCCACCCCTCCCTTACGCAAAGCGAGGGTCTCCACCGTCTTGGCCACCTCCTCCAACTTCCCTAGTATACCGTTCTGTAGCCTGTCGAGCATGTCGTTAGCCATCTGTTCGGTCACTCGGGTGAGGGTGTTAGTAGATTCACTACGCCTGCGGACCTTAACAGCGAGGCACTTCTCATCACCAAGTATGCATATGGTCACCCTAGGAAATTTCGTAAAATTTCTACCCTAATTCGTATATAAACCCCCCATAGTGAGCTGAGGAAAGCGAACACATATTACAACACCACCTCCTCGAGCCTCGACGACCCACCTCATCCGACAGCGCCTTGTCCAGTCTAGTCACCGTATCAGCCAAATCCGTCACTCGGTGCTCCTCAGAGGACCTGAGACCCTCAGCACCCTTCCTTCCCGAGGAAGAGGATCACCTCCGTTTAGCAGCTTCATCCTCAATGACCTTGTCAAAGCCAATGAAGGTCTCCCCCACCGAAAGCAGTTGACTGCGTAGCCTCTCACTGCTCCTCTGAGGACTCGTACTGCTAGTCACCAATGGTCGGAGTGGTGATGTCGAATAAGTACTCGAGGAGTTGCTGGGGGCTCCTGATAGGCGATATACTTTGCATTATACCACTCCAACCCTCATACCACTCCGCCGCCCTAGTGAGGACGACTCTACCGACTCCATCGCGACGACAACCACTTCAAAGAGTACAGAGCTCACTACTAACACGACAACCTGTCTAGTAGAAACTGAGAACACTATCAACGTTTTCTCGATGATTCAGCTGCACCCTTCCGAGCCTCCTCCAGTAACAACTTGGTAGGGCCGGGGTTGACTTTGTCCTCTGCCCTCAACGACCTCATTAGATTAGCGCTGACCTCCCTGTCCACAGCCTCGTCATCCATTGCATCAACGTGATGGTCATCTGCGCCCATACTCATCCTCAACTCCTCATCAAGCTGCTTCATGTACCTATTCCGACATCATCCGTATCATACACGGGAGAACCTAAGATTCTCCCATTACTAACCTCTTCATCTCAACGTCGGGGACATCCTCCTCCTCCTCCTCATCCTCAGCGTCCGAGTCCGGCATCTCATCGATCATATCATCATCATCCGAGCCTTCACTCCCTTCCTCATGACCTGAACTCCTCCATTACCTACCCTACTCCTGGCCTCCACCACCACTACTTTCTATTCCGAATATGCCCGAAGCCTTCCCCATAAGGTCGTTGAGCCTCGTAGACACATCCTGCAGCTCCTTCTGCTCCTCCTCAGTGAGCCCATCTGCCACCATGACCATCCCCACACCCACCGAGCCAACTACTACCACCTTCCTTCTTGCCAGCCTCCTCAATAGCTTCAGTCAGCCACGCATCGCTATCACTAGGACCGTCGTACTTGGCAAATCTCTCCAGAGGGACCTCCTGAGCCCTCAGCATGGCATGCCAGTCCAAGACATTCACCCTACCTCTTCCCTGCACTCCTCCATTCGGTTCAAGAGCCCCTTGCCCTTCTCAAAGTGTGCCGTATCCTTATTATTAGCCTTCACAGCACAATGAGCCGCCAACGAGACCAGCCGACCCAGCATCACTGACAAACCGTCGGATTCCTATGTCGCATTTTATGCAACCAGCCCACCTGTATTTTCCTCGTTACGACTACGCATCTGTTGACCACCAAAGGCAAGCCTGGCAGGCATCCTCAGACGGCCCTTGATGCCCATAAGGGAAGCATAATGAAGCTTCGTCATCGACACTTGGATGGTCACCAAGTCCCCTGAGTTGAAAATGCGCATATTACTTCGGTGGAGTGCTACCCCTCGAGATGCTCTCAGTGATGACGCTACTACCGCGCTCAGCCAAGCGATCAGGAGGCAAGTAACTACAGTGATAGATTCATCGTCACGCGCCATGAAATTCAAACACTTACTCGAGGAGGAGGGATATGATCTGAGGTTGCCGTATGAGTTGCTCTGCCAGTACGGCAGGTAACTGTAGGACCCCCACCATCACGACCCACTACCTACGACTACCTACCAATAACCTGACATGCATAAGGTCGATGCTCCACGGCTTCGACTTCAGCTTGTTGATAATACATCTCTGCACACTAGGGGAGGCAATAGTCTCACAGTCATCATCGAGGACCTGCAAAGAGGGCAGTATATCTATGCTATGCGGAGCTCACAATACCATGTCCACTGCTGCCTCTACTGCCAATGGCTTGATATCTGGGGGCTGCTCGGAAGGAGCCTTCGGGCAGATGTGGAGCATCCCTTGGTGAATCTAGGAGAATACCGCATGTCCACCCATATCAAAGGAGTACATCGCATACCCAAACTCTGTGTCCTGCATTTTCAGGACTCAGCCACTTAGGCAACGCAGGTGCTGCCTCTATTAGTAGAGGATCTCCATCGACATCGGACACCTCACAGGCAACCTCGGAGTACTTCCTAGTCAGTGAAACCTAACAAGCATTACGAGGAAACGGCCGATTAAACTATACTACTACCAGCAAGCTGATGAGCAGCCATTCATCATGCAGAGCATCCCCATAGCGCAGATGGATACCATACACTAGGTAGGGAGATGAGACCTGCCTCAACACTGAAGGGTTGGATGTGCTCATCGACCTACCCTCGAGGCATCCAACACGTCCACTTGTGGGGGGTCTCTCTGCCAGATGTAACCTCTCGGGGTCTGGTCGTGGAGGTAGTCTCCTAAAAGCTGATACCATCGTTGAGAGTCCTCGGTGGAGCTCACATAGAGTCTGAAAAGCAGTGCCATATGACAATTGCGGGTATCGATCCCACATCCTCGCGATGACGAGGAGAGGATCCATCCCCCTATACCATACGATCAACTCTCCCCTACTACTTCGCATCCACATAATCATCTAGGTTGCTACCACCCCCGCTCCTCAGCGCCTCCTGCAATAAATCACTAGGCTGCGAGTCCGGGGTAAAGGCCGGACTAGCAACCTGACGTCGATGGTCGTTAGCTCGTGTCCTCATCTAGCGAGTAAACCCAACACCTCGAAACTTCACACCTCATACCGGTCACTAAACCAACACAAGACAACTTGATATCCTAGATGACGCTCAACCAGTGGGACTCGAAGGGATGATCGTCATCAGCAACAGATCCGTAGACCAATAGGATACTTCTTCACTCATACAAAGAATGCTCTAATATTACGACCATTCATCTCACCACCATCGTAGTTATCAATGGCTGTTTGGGCATCACGAGCATCTAAACAAGATACAAAACATGTCCGAAATCGGTCCATGGACCCGTACTACCTCTGAACGTTATGATGGCCTGATTGCCGCCCCTCCGGCTCTCCTCGACGTTGCAGAACTCTACTGGTCCCACGGCTCCGAAAGACTGCTTCACGTCCCTCCAAGTGAGGTCCTCGGGTATGTTAGTAATTTTTATAGTACAGCTTCCTGAGCTCTCCCTAGAGTACCCCTTCCCCTTGCCGCCAAAGGACCTTCTCGTATTAAAGGAACCCTTACCAGGTCGGACGCCCATCGCACGAGCGAATTTCTCAGCCGACTCGGCGCTCTCTGGTGGAGGCTTTGCCACTTCATAAGGCTGAGACCTGTAGCTGCGACCGCTACTCCTTCCCTTCCCACCACCACGTCGCTGGCCAGTTGAAGGTGTACGTGGGTGACTCGACGACCTGAAGACTTTCCGATGGACTCCAAGTCAGGGGAAGCTGCTACTGATCTTACTTGACGATGTCGTCGAGAGACATCGATAGCTTGTCAACCGTGGACATTGCGAGAAGAAAGGTTCTCTCCGGGTGATAACCAACTAACCAATTCCATTGTGTCCGCTTGAATGCTCAGCAGTTTGGTCAGCTGCTGATACATCCGTAAGGCAAGTGAGCTCCACATGACACAACACTTCGTAGAGGCCTTCAGAAGATTCTTCGGAATAGATGAGCATGACGAACACCTCGCTCGAAGTTGCCCCCTAATTCAGAACCCCAGGGAGGTGAGTTCGTACTTTAGTTGCAGATACTAGATGTTATAAAGACCACTACACGCCAAGCACGATCGAATTCGACAATGTATCTGCCCTAGAACGCTATTGATCCCCTCTAACAAGGAAATTAATTTCCGCAATTCTTCGAAATTCTCGGTACTACGCTCGTGGTGACGAAATTGATCTCTCCTGAAGCAAATCTTGAGGGTATGGCATAGCCGCCCCACTCGACATTATTTATCTCACTAAGAGCTAGGAGATAGTTCTTTTCAAGGTCTACTATCCCTGTTCGTGGACACTTACTCTGATCAGCACAATGTTCACCGAAAGATGGTATCCGAGGAATATCTCGAGGTGGTGGCATAGCGGCCCCACGCGACAATATGCATACACTTCATTCAATATTGATTTCTTCTCACAAGATTTGAATATCTGTTCACAACCACTTACTCTAATTAACAAGTTGTTCAAAAAAGAGTGGTACAGTATGAGAAATGCACACCCCCTACCCTATTGCCAACAGCATTCCGCTGCACAGGTGAAGTTATACGGAGCCTCCGTATCTTAGCTTGAGGGGCGCTAGCGATGTTGTGCTAGGCTGCGAAGATGATTCTCAGTCAGTTAGGGCTGGTATCGTTGGTATGCAGAATGTAGTGCTTTTGAACGGCATTTTTGTGATGGGAGGAATGAGTGGGGGCTTCATAATTGCGTGGGTAGTTTTTCGTGTTTTCATTGTTAAAAATGCCTTCAGAGCAGTTCCCTCAAAAGTATGATCGTGTGTTCAACTTCAGTGCAGGCCCTTGCTGTTTCCCTGTCGAGGTAAGTTGGACGTGGGTGTCGAGGAGCTTCCTGAACTATCACTTAGTGGTTGTCTAGGTCCTCGAGCAAGCTAAGGACGAGATGCTCAACTGGCATGGGTGTGGGATGTCTGTTATGGAGATGAGTCATCGTGGAAAGGAATATACTTCCATTATCGAGGCTGCCGAAGCCGACCTCCGAGAGATTTTGAATATTCCCGATAACTTTAAGGTCATCTTCTACCAAGGAGGTGCCACCCTGCAGTTTGCTGGTATCCCTCTCAATATGATGGGTGAGGGAAAGAAGGCTGATTACATTGTAGGTTGGCGGTCGTAGGAGAGTTATACTGAGTATGTTGTTTATGTAGGTGACCGGTCAATGGAGTGAGAAGGCCGCTAAGGAAGCTGCTAAGTACGGTGATGTGAACGTTGTTGTTAACACTAAGCCCGAGAAGTTCACTCATGTCCCTCGTATGTCCGAGTATAAGGATAAACTTAGTTCCGATGCTAGCTACGTGTACTACTGCATGAACGAGACTGTCAATGGTGTGGAGTTTGACTACGTTCCTGAAGTTGGTGATAAGCCGCTCGTCTGCGATATGAGTAGTAACTTTATGTCGAGGCCTATCGACTTCTCCAAGTTTGCTGTTGTTTACGCTGGTGCCCAGAAGAACCTCGGCCCTGCTGGTGTCACTGTTGTAATTGTAGATGAGAAGTATTTGGGTAATGAGATGCCCATCACTCCGACCTATATGAACTGGGCTACCATGGCTAAGGCTGGTTCGATGTATAACACCCCTGCATGCTACGCTATCTACATGACTGGCTTGTATCTCAAGTACACAAAGGCTCACGGTGGACTAAAGCACTGGGATGATCTCGCTGAGAAGAAGTCGGGTCTTCTTTACGGAGCCATTGAGGAGAGTAATGGATTCTACAACGCTCCTGTTGCCAAGAACGTTCGCTCCCGTATGAACGTTCCCTTCGTAATCAAGGATAACGATGATGACTTGAAGAAGAAGTTCCTCGCTGAGGCTAAGGAGGTCGGTCTCGTCACCTTATCTGGTCACAGGAGTGTTGGTGGTCTCCGAGCCAGTCTATACAACGGTATGCCTCTGGAGGGTGTACAGCGTCTGGTCGAATTCATGCACAAGTTCTACAACGAGAACAAGTAATTTGAGATGATATATTGTCGGCGTTATCACTATCGTTGGAAGCTGTTGACTATTAAGTTGGGTGAATCCTTCACTTGACGGCAGATTATATAAGTTCGTCTAAGCAGTTTCTGATATTTAGTGGTACCGTCGGAAGCGGCGAGCTTGAAACTTGTCAGTGTTCACTGTGGGATGGTATCATTATTTGAAAGGATGATGATTATTGTTAAGACGGTTCCGAGGAGGTTAGCCGATGAGGCTGTTGTTTCTTTTCTCTACTTTGAGCTACGTATGTAGCTAATGCCTTCTGTCAAATTACCTTATTGGGTATTAGTGTTGTGTTGATAGTGGGAAGACTTGGTTACCTCGCATTCTTCTTGTACTCGGTGGATACATAGTAATAGATTACCTTGGTATTTGATGAACGGCATGTGGTATGTGCACATGAGCCTATTCTGGGTCATCAAATAACCTCATAAAAGGTTTTGGCGAGCCTTAGGGACTGTAGGAGAACGAGCTGCCATCGGAAAAATGTCTGTTTTCGACGAGTCGATAATGTTTATGGTTTATTATGAATTACGTGGCATGCGCTATGGGGTCCCTTTGTGAACTGCAGTGATACTGTGACAATACTCTCGTCGAAAATACCGTCGGAAATCGCGGTTGGTTGGGCTTTACTTTAGCAGCGTTCGCTGTACGTCCTGCAGTTCGAGAGACCTACAGAGTCGATGGCAACCTGTCATCATTGTGCAGAGTCCATGAGCTAGTTGCATGCTGGAGGGAATATCATTTCGTATCTCCGTGCTAGTGAATTCGCGATACATGGAGACATCGATTGTGTCTTCAGCGAACGCTGTGGGTCTCATAGTGTGAGAGCTAGTCTCGGGTCTGAGGTGTTGTTGTTGAATAATTGACAATGCTTCAAGTTACTGATCATAGTTTACTCTTATTTGTTGATTATTCTTGGTGATAATGCCTTCGGAGCAGTTCCCTCAAAAGTACGATCGTGTGTTCAACTTCAGTGCTGGCCCTTGCTGTTTCCCTGTTGAGGTGAGTTGGACGTGGATGTCGAGGAGTTTCCTGAACTATCACTTGGTTGTCTAGGTCCTCGAGCAAGCTAAGGACGAGATGCTCAACTGGCATGGGTGTGGTATGTCTGTTATGGAGATGAGTCATCGCGGAAAGGAATATACTTCTATTATCGAGGCTGCCGAAGCCGACCTCCGAGAGATTTTGAATATTCCCGATAACTTTAAGGTCATCTTCTACCAAGGAGGTGCCACCCTGCAGTTTGCTGGTATCCCTCTAAATATGATGGGTGAGGGAAAGAAGGCTGATTACATTGTAGGTTGGCGGTCGTAGGAGAGTTATACTGGGTATGTTGTTTATGCAGGTGACCGGTCAATGGAGTGAGAAGGCTGCTAAGGAAGCTGCTAAGTACGGTGATGTGAACGTTGTTGTTAACACTAAGCCCGAGAAGTTCACTCATGTCCCTCGTATGTCCGAGTATAAGGATAAACTTAGTTCCGATGCTAGCTACGTGTATTACTGCATGAACGAGACTGTCAATGGTGTGGAGTTTGACTACGTTCCTGAAGTTGGTGACAAGCCGCTCGTCTGCGATATGAGTAGTAACTTTATGTCGAGGCCTATCGACTTCTCCAAGTTTGCTGTTGTTTACGCTGGTGCCCAGAAGAATCTCGGTCCTGCTGGTGTCACTGTTGTCATTGTAGATGAGAAGTATTTGGGTAATGAGATGCCCATCACTCCCACCTATATGAACTGGGCTACCATGGCTAAGGCTGGTTCGATGTATAACACCCCTGCATGCTACGCTATCTACATGACTGGCTTGTATCTCAAGTACACAAAGGCTCACGGTGGACTAAAGCACTGGGATGATCTCGCTGAGAAGAAGTCGGGTCTTCTTTATGGAGCCATTGAGGAGAGTAATGGATTTTACAACGCTCCTGTTGCCAGGAACGTTCGCTCCCGTATGAACGTCCCCTTCGTAATCAAGGATAACGATGATGACTTGAAGAAGAAGTTCCTCGCTGAGGCTAAGGAGGTCGGTCTCGTCACCTTATCTGGTCACAGGAGTGTTGGTGGTCTCCGAGCCAGTCTATACAACGGTATGCCTCTGGAGGGTGTACAGCGTCTCGTCGAATTCATGCACAAGTTCTACACCGAGAACAAGTAGACTGAGCTCATCGAGCGAAGGCTTGATTTTGTTCACACACTATGATGTGTATTCGTGTGTCAAGATAGTAGTTCAGGGAGTCGTGATAGCTTCGTGTTTACCCTCGAGGTAAGGGTCTTACCCTGTGGATTTTTTCTATCATAGTAATGCATGAAGGCGTTGTGTTGAACTATTGAGGTTTGAGGTTGTTTCGAAAACGATATTTTTGTGATGAGTCGCGACTGACGGTACTTTGCGAGAAAGTTTGGAAACGAGAGGGGTTTCCGGTAGTGTTTTCACAGTAGAAATGCCCAAACGTAAGAATACGGGCGCGGAGGATTCCAGACGGAAGCGACAGAGAGGGGATGGTAAGCCCAGGTTTCTGGAGGAACCACAGGTCTATGCGAAGGATGGTATGCGGTTCGTCAAGCCCTACAGGTAAACCGGTTGTCTAATTGACAAGGTCGATCAATCACGCGCTGGGTTAGTTGAAATTGTCCAATAGCTTATAGTCGTTGGTTTAAAAACAACTCCAACTGTTCAGAGTTTTTGACAGAGACAATGTTCTTGTCGTAACCTTTTTGATTATTTATGGCGTATTAGGTTCGAGTTCCGGTGTTATATCAAGAAGCGGTGGTTGGGAAAGAATCTACTCGATATATGTAATGGCTACAGTGCTCTTGTGTTACACTGGAGAACGTTAGGCCTTCAGGCGAAGCGGAATTTATGGCCCAGCCTCCCGAATACTACGAGAATGCGATCAAGGAAGGGAAGATTACGATTGACTTCAGTGAGGAAACTAGTGGCGATGTGTGTTCGGTCCACTCGAGTTTCTTGAGATATATTTCCCCATTAAATTCTGTTGCAAGTTCTAGCTCGGAAGGGAAGCGCTATGCTTCCCACCGTGCAGCTTCATAGAATAGCTGAGTTTCAGCATCGTATGATAATATCCTATGAAAATCGTGTAGTTGCCGAATTCTTAGAGCCGATTATGACAGAGAGATTATACCGGATGGATAGGGTCTAACGAATGGCAATGCCATTACGGCATGCCGCCATTTTGTGAACGTCTGAGCCGAATATCATCCTCAGAAACTATATAACAGTTTTGATTCGGGAGTCTTGGCTCATTCCCAGAGATGGGGTCCGACGGTTGAAGTATACAGGTCTCGACTTGTTACGGTCGCCTGCTGTCGGAGGGCAAAGAATCTATGTCATAGATGAAGCTTTCATTATCCTTTCTATTATGGAAGAGATAATGATGGCGGATGGGCCAATTGTAGATGAGCAGTGAACTATTGTCTGCAACTGCAAGACGTCAACAGGTCTTCGAGGACGGTGCACAGGTTCGTCTGATAGAGGATTAAGCACTGAACCTTGCAGTGGCTGCCTTCAGTCTTTATCTCAGCGTTATCGAACTGATTTCGATGACTGATGGGGCGCGGGAAGTTCAGGCCAGCAAGTTGACCTCAACCAAACTGCTCGAGATAGTCCCCTCAGTGCTGTCTCACCGTGTAGCAGCATGAGTTTCATCTCATCACGTCGAATTGGGCAAGATGACTCGACCGAGCATTCTACTGCACATCCATGAATCATCTGGTTGGGATCAGAACAAGAATCTCTCGTAATACTGGCCATACTTGAGCGGCACGCGTCAAGAAGTCGTACTTCTGAATGCTTGCGCCCTTCTATCCAGGTATTCGGAGTGTTCAGTATGTAAACTCTTTTGCGAACCCAGTCTGCATTACATCTACGACCTGATCTATGGTTTCCATGTCATTAGGGTTGTGTGATACTTGTATCGTTGACGAGAAAATCTATAAGTAAATTGTCGCTACAGACGACATATTCCACATTCAAACGCACGCATCGACGTGAACGGTTAGAGGATATTTGGAGATACATTCCGGGTCATTGAATGCTTTCCTGTCTCGTTTTTAGACAAGGTGGAACCCGATCACGTCCTTCAAGGCAATGAACTTCTCATACACGAGACTATTGTCAACGAGAATCCTGTGCCTTTTGATGGTGAGCTGAAGATCGTCGGAGAGACTGACGACGTGGTCGCTGTAGACAAGCCCTCCGGGGTGAGTAGCGCGTCAGCCAGAGGCCGAGTCGGTGCATCAGCAATTTTCCTCTCCAGATGCCCGTACACTCAGGCGGCGGTCACAGAGTGAATTGCTTGTCGGCTATTCTCAAAGAGCAAGATCCCTCGAGGTAGGTTAGGAAGAGTCCCCAGTTTTGAGGCAGTTGGCTTTTGCAGGTTCTCTCTTGCTATTCACACTCTCCACCGTTTGGACCGCTTAACGTCGGGCATTGTTATATTAGGGAAGAATCCAGACGTGGCTCGAGCCTTTAGTAGGAGGACCAATTATCGCTGTGGATATCTAGTAATGTTGAATGCAGGTGAAGCCTTCAAAAAGCATGATCAAGAAATACAGAAATGCTACTTAGCCAGGGTGAAGGGAAAATTCGAAGGTGGAGCTGGTCGATATTCCAAGGCTTCGACTCTTTGTTTCCAGGCTCCAATGTCGTCGTCGAGGGGTTCATGCGCTGCGTTGACTTCAGAGTTGGAAAGTTCATTCTTGTCAAGTCTAATAAAGGAACAGCATCTGAAGACGCAAACCAGGGTGATGCTCCGACGTCCACGCCCTCCGGGGATGACAAAAGCGCCGTTGAGGAGGAACATATCGAGGATAAATGGAGCCAAACAAGCTTCGATAAGGTGTGGTATGATGAACAGAACGATGAGACTATCATCAAATGTTACCCCAAAACCGGCAGAACCCATCAGATCAGGGTAGGTACCATCTGAGTCTCCGAGTCGTATCCCCACTTTCGCAGGTCCATCTCGAGTCCATCGGCCATCCCATCGCCAACGATAGCTGCTACGGTGGAGAGTACAAGGCTGATCATCCCTTCGCATTCCCATTGGCGCCCCATGCCAATAATGTTCCTCCGAAGGAAGGTTCATCTTACTCCCACATAACTGGGATTTGGCTCCACGCTCTCTCTTACAAAGTGCCGAGTAAGAATCTCGACTTTACCAGTGAGTGGCCCAAATGGGCGATTGAGCCGACTCCGCAGTCGTGAGACCCAACGTTACTCTTCCTCGATATTTCGATTTGTGTTGCCGAGTGTTATGAGGGCCGGCGGCCGGCACGCAATATCTCTAGAAGAGATTCTCGAAGTATCATCCCTTTCAACGTGCAACTCATTCGATGGGAGGTGGTCGCTTTCGAGTATATTTTCGAGTATATCGATATGCTTTCGCGGCGAGGCATTCGCAATAGATCAAACGTGAACCGCGATTTGCATATTAGCTCGGATTGCCACAAAGAAGATGTTCTTCTAATATCGTTTTGATTGACGGTTCGAGTCTCGAACTTCAGGAGTCAACTCACTTAACACGACTCGAAGGTTGGAAATTTGATACTTCTACACTGCTCAACATGACTTAAGCCACTACAGCTTATGCTGTGGGGTGGCAGATCTATATAGTGTTACCACCGCCGCTCCACCGAAACCAAAGTTGTGCTGAAGCCCAACTCGAGCGCCGGGGACCTAGCCAGGAACCGATACAGAGCGAAACCGACTTCGCGGGCACCTGTCTTTTTCCAGCCTTCCTTGTCAGCTGTCGATGGAGTTCAACACATTGCGCTACTCCAGTCGCTGCTATCGGGTGCCCTTTCGATTCGAGTCCTCCGGAAGGATTGATAACAACACTTGACCCAATGACCGTCTGTTGTTCACAGTATCTGCAAGCCAGAGAGATGATGCCGATCATTCCTCCCTGAGACCACTTACTTCCCGCCTTCACTGTTTTCTCGCCAGCGCATATTTTCCACCATCGCCAGGCCCTGTCCTGGAGGAGCGAAGCCAAGAGCCTCATATCTAAAGCCGCTATATCTGTGGCAACGCTCAGAATGATCCACTTGCGGGACAAGAGAAACCGATCGTAGTAGCACGTGAATAAACGTCCATAACTTTGGCTTACAACAACAGCTCGTTGATCGAGAAGCAGTCATGCAGCTCCACGACCTGTGGGAAATCAACATTCGAAATGACGACACTCGCGGAGGTCTACATTGACGTCTTTGGGGCCTAACCCGGATTCCTTATAACAGGTCCCAGCAGCTTTCCTGGCCATTTCAATACCGCATAGCCCAGCATACCTGCACAGTAAACTTATTGTAAGCAGTGCTGAGCAGAAGGCCTACGTATCGCCAAAACTCGAAGCAAGATCAGTGACCATGCTCTGTGCACATATCTCCGTGGCATGACCATTTTGAACGAACCTTGAGAACTTCAATAACGTTGCATGCATTCTGACTGACCAACCACAGACCCACTCGCGACATCGGTGCCAACGCTCTGAACATATAATAACCGCCGCGGCACCGTCAGCAGTAGGAGCCTGAGAACCACCGCTGCAATTGGCTGATGGTGACACGGCAACAGCCCAAAAGCGAAGTTGTTGTGGAGTAAAGTCTCGAGGCTGTAAATGTTCTTACAGACATCGCCTCGGATATCGACCCACAGAACGGCCGGCTGAGGACCTTCTCCCTCGTCGTGGCGCTTCTGATGCACCTGAGTGCGGCATTTCATGACTACTATAAAACTCTTCATCGTTCCCTACGCGTCTGGATTCTGAGTGCCATGAGCTCGATTCTTGACGGTAATATCAGCCAAGTACCGACAGAACTTGTCGTGATCATCCGGGCAGTAATTGGTGGCGTATCTGCGGTAGGATCGCCATCGATAAAGTGTGTTGTATTTGTTGATAAAGTTCACCACGAGCTATCACTCACTCTTCAGCCGCACCAGCGAACATTCTGCATACATCCGAAGTCCATTGATTCATCGTTGGTTTTATCAGCTCTGTCGGACTACCCAATTTGTGCACGTGTTTCAACTAACGGACGAATTCTTCAAGGCAACTTCCAACAACTTTCATCATTCACCTGAGGACCAACAGGGTTCTCCCTATCTGTGTACTTCGATTCGCTCAGGCCGCGTTCCATCTGCTCCATACCAACAACGAGGCAAACGTCCCCTAGAAGGAAAAGTGCACGCCTATACACATTGGTCACTTACCGCAAGTCCCAGCCTTGAGAAGTGTTCGCCCGACGAACAAACCGCAGCTGCCCGCTGAACAGTTCACGTTGGTGTTGACGATCTACGAGAAGTAAATGCTTGCATACCAGGATAATGCCCTACTGGAATTCCAGTGAGGCCCATCTCATAGAGAGCTCTGTGACCGGTGGCTGTGTCGCCGTAGTTCCACCTGAATGGGGACCACAATGTGGAGTTTGGGCAGTGTTGGAATATATATTTGCCTTCTCAGCTGAGCTCAGCAGATTCCTCACTAATTATGAAATTTCACATACGCGTCGTATGATACGAATTCGGATAAAAGTGTGCAGAAACCGAGGAAAAAATTTCCTCTGATTTTTCATACAGTCACCAACACATCCAGTAAACATGTCCGGTCCCATACGCCCCAGCCGCTGGGTAAATCATGGAAAACATGTCCAAGGCGTGCGTCGATACGCCTGGTGGCATCCTTATGGGAAAGAATACATTGAAACTTCAAGCCTGGAAGTAAATGCCACGACTACGAGTCGTTCGAGTGACTCAAGGATCACTTCAAGTGACTTGCCGGTCTACTCCGAGAATGAGTGGCATTTGATAATGCAATTCGATTCTCAACTATATCTGTTTTTCACTCTTCTTACGCGGCCACAGCCACAGTAACATCCTCATACTTCAAGTCGGCATCCTCGAGTGCCTTAGTGCATGCAATGCGGGCATATTGCGTGTAGTCCAGACTGACAAAACAACTCTGTTTTCACTCGAGTATCTTCGGACTGTCACCTGTTTTTAGATTTCGGCATTCTGAAAGGGCACACTCCTCCGCCGATGACATAAACTTTATTGGAATTGCTCATGGTTGAAAATCGCGAAAACTTCCTTCCCACAGTACGAGTAGATAACAACACGACAACTATTGAGCTGAATGAATTCAGCTGCCGTTCGATCATGTGGGGGTGTTCGGCGGAGTCTTCTCTATTCTGGCCCTGAGGTAAGCTGAGACTATCACCATGGAGGCAATCACTACAGTAAACGTCAGTTAGTGCCAACAAATGGAAGTGAATTTCAATAAATATCAGTAAGTTTTCAGTGAATTTTCAGTAAATAGCAGTCAATATAAGCAAATTTTCAGTAAATATCAGTAAATTTTCAGTAAATATCAGTAAATTTTCTGTAAATATCAGTAAATATACGCAAATTTTCAGTAAATTTTCTGTAAATATCAGTAAATTTTCTGTAAATATCAGTAAAATTTCAGTTAATATCAGTAATGTCAATTAATGTCAGAAAATGTCAGTTTACTTCATTAAATGCCAGTAAATGGGAGAAAACTCATCGTGCCCAAATTCGTTTTAGCGCCAATTCCCACGCGGAGAACAGCAATAGAGTTATAATTCACCTTTTTTGAAATATGGCTTTCCACTTCACAACCCCCAATGCCTCATGCACTTGACTAGAGTAGACTTCATCTCCGGCTACTTCAGGGAAATACGGTATTCGTTTATCTGCATTTAACTGTACACACTGCAGTGACAATGGCAGAACTACTCGTTTGCTTGAATACCAACAGATGCTTCTTGAGTGGTTCCATCCGACCCTCCAAAACGTGATGCCCAAGTACTATTTCCGGGTTGCCCTGTACTAACACTACCAGTACGCTCTCTCCACCACGCTTACTGCGGCATTTATTGTTAAATTTCCGAGAACATGACCATCGAATTTACCATTCAGTGAGCGTATTGATCCCTAAAGCGCATCTGAATGGTAACAGTCGCGACTTTCTACCTGCAGTTCTATCAGGAAGTAGTCGTCTGTGAAGGAGCCACTTGATGATGGTAATATAACGATAGCCATATGAGGGTGTGTGGGTATTCAATCAATTCAGTATTGGAGTATATGTTCGCCTCCTCAGCGTAGCTCGGAAAGTTCACATGCGAATTCGAGTAGTAGAAGTGTACAGAAACCAACGAGAACTTCCTAAAATTTCCTCTCAGAATTTTCATAATATCACCAACACATGTAGTTGACCATGTGCATACCTTCCCAAACCCCAAATGCTGCTCAAGTCATCCAGAACAAAACGAGACGAGAACTCAACACATTTTTTCTATAGGAAAGCATTAGCACGTCACTTTATAATGCAAATGGGCATGACATTCAATAATTATCTCGCCTCTGGCGAGTATCGCGATGTGGTTCGTGGGAAATACGCTGATCTCGGTCGTGCAGGGCGAGGCATGAGCCTTCAAGACACAATTTCAATATGATGATCATCTGATGCCCCCTACCCTGCGCTGAATGGCGAATACTCCATAGTCGCAGTCCCTGGCATCACAGCTATCGGGGTCATCACCATGCAGGGGTTCTCATGCTCTTCTACGGGTTTTTCCGGTGTGACGAGCATTGCAGTCCTTCCTAAAACCAAATCGCCATGCACTCTAGTACGCGCAATCTGAAGACCCAATCTCATGTGGGAGCCTGAACTTTCTAAATTAGCTGCTATAAATAGCTTTGGAAACTCCTAAACTCAGCTGAGAAAAGCGATCATATATTATTCCAACAACACTGAGCTCACCCGAACTCCAACACAGACCAGCAACCTGAAATTTTGTATAGGAACTCTATGAGTATAATAGTATCGTTTGAATACGCCATAGAAGTGTTGAGGCTTACCAAGTCTGGGGAAAAAATATGCACATGATTGACTACATGTGTCGATGACAATATGAAAATTAAGAGAAAATTCTTATTATTTCTACCCGAATTCATATGTCAACTTCTATAAATAGCTTTGGAAACTCCTAAGCTCAGCTGAGGAAAGCGAGCATATATTCTCCCAACAACACTGAGCTCACCCGAACTCCAACACAGACCAGCGGATTGCGGTCTTGATAACCGACTCGTAGGAGCCACAATCGTACGAGGGGGAGGCTTATATTCAATTCGATCACTCGTTGTTGCTACTGAAAAAGAAAACTACTATCAAATGAATGGCGAACTATACCTTCAATTGTCTCTGCTCTCTGATTTCGCCTTATGTCATCGATCAGCTTCTGCATATATTCGTCGCGACTCGCAAGCCTTTCCGTACGAGTACGTAAATCCATCGAAATTCTAGGAGAGCGTTGATCAGCCAGTGTTGTTACCCCCAGGCCTCTGCGACTGAGAGTTTGCCTGTAGTTCGGCGAGGGAAGCACTCGTCCTTCTGCAGGAGGTGCGGGAATAGTGAGCATGACCAACAACAACAACTCTGCACTTAGTGTAGGAAAATACGCACATGGTCAACTACATGTGTTAGTGACAATGTGAGAAAATTTTGGGGAAGTTATCATTGTGTAATCTGCATATTTCTACGCGAATTCGTATGTAAATTAGTGAGAAAACTCCCAAGCTCAGCCGAGGAGAATTAACATATATTCTAACATTTCCTATACCACCCTTCGTTGACATCACCAACACAAGTCGGTGAAAACAAGCTGAGGAACTTGCGGTAGATTCTAGTATATCGCTATTTAGTTCTTTTTCTTATCATCCTTTTTCTTCTCCTGAACAGCCGCCCAGTCGTGTTTTTCTTCCTGGTACCTGACAAAACGTAACCCGAATAAAACTGAGAGTCAAGGCTGCTTACGCATAGAAAGCATAAAGTGCCATAATAATGTTGGCAGAAATGACCGCACTGATACCAGAGTAACTCAATATCTGTACAGTGAATATATAACCTCCCAGAATGGTCATCGACTAACTCACTTTGTTATCATCGGTAATACCCATCCCCGGTAGAGCCGCCTGTACCGCGAAAAATACACTAATGGGTACCACGAACATAGCGAGAGCAGTGAAGGCGAATGGAATGGCAACTTTTCTATTTTCTTCATGCGACAGCAGACCGAATAAGGTGTACCTACAAAACAGTATGAGGAAATATGCACATGTGTTGGTATGAAAGTTCTGGGAAAATTTTTTGAGAAATTCTCATTGGTTTCTGTAGACTTCTAGCCGAATTCGCATGTAAACTTTTAATAATTAGTGAGACAACTTCTAAGCTCAGCTGAGGGTAACAAACACATATATTAAAAACTCCAACTGCAAAATCGATAACCTCACAAAATGGAGCCGATTTCGGTACTTGGGCCCTTGTTCTTGTTGCTGCTGCTGATTCTCCACTGACTGTTCTTGGCCGTCATCTTTTCCGGAAGGCTTCCCGCCCTTTCCCGAGGGTAAAGGGGGCAATTCAACTACTTCTGATTGTTGATCTGATGGCACTGACTTCTCCTCGGTAGACTCCTTTTTGTTGGCTTGTTTTCTAGCCATCTTACAAATACGAATAATTCTAAACTAAATCAACCCTGTGCGGACACTTGCAATTCAAATATTGTCGAGTCACCCAGAAACGTCACTAAAACATGCATGATTAGCATCACCATCAGCCGGCCAACCACGCCCGTTTCTTCCGCCGCAGAACCTGAGAGCGAGTCCAAGAGCAGTGTTGCAGGAATATATGCTCGCTTTCCTCAGCTGAGCTCAGGAGTTTCCAAAGCTAATTATGTGTACGACGAAAACCAGCGATAAATTCCCTAATTTCACCAACATAGTCGATCGCGTGTATATTTTCCACTCACAGGGGGCGGGGGTATAGGAGCACTGCCGGGAATGAGTTCCCCTGTGCTGTAGAAATGCTTCTTCCTGTCATAAGGCGTATACAACTGTCGCATTCGCATTCTCCAGGTTCTCTGAAAATGCGGAAAATCGAGAGGGAAAAAGCACATGGTTGTTATTTACTATAGGATGCTTCTTGACGCCATACTTTGAACGCCGCGAGCGACGATCCTTCACTGGTAAGCAGTCAAACTTGCCTCGTACTATCTGACTTGCGCATGCGTGCAGAAATATTGTGTCGAGGGGACACGCTGTGTCGTCCTACCTTATAATTACACCCTGGTATATCATTAGCCCGACCACCTCTGACCAGCACCACACTATGCACTTGCAGATTGTGGCCGATACCAGGGATGAACCTATGCAATGCAAAACTGACCACTACTAACAATAGCCTCATCCGAACACCACAAATGTGCTAAGGAATAATAAACGACTTGAGCTTACGCTGACTTGTTATAATATAGAGGAGTAAGTACATGATAATGAATATAAAGGGTAATACTATGGAGTTGAAAAACACTAGTGGAAAATTGATTTCACGACTACTAGATAGCGCGAATATCGCGTTTTTCACCGAGTATTACGCCACTTCGCGTGACACGAGTGAGACTACAATGAATATAATACGATAATTAATACCATAAATCCGCAAACGCTATCTTGAAAGGATTCATATCAGAAGGGCTAACAATTGACGCTACGTGATTGTATTGTGGTGCGGTATGTAAAATATTCACGCACTATTCTATGTTGGAGTTTCACCCGTTTTACGTGAAGTGGCGTAAAACTCGGTGAAAAACGCGAAATTCGCGGTGATATGCAGTAGTCGTGAAATATGTTTTTCACTAGTGTTTTTCATATCACGGCCGCCCGTGAAACTTCCATTATAATAACCCCGCTAAATTCCATATCGAGGGGATATACATCATCAGGACCAACGATCGAGCTAAGCTTACGCTAAGACGACCCTTTTATTGCTGAGCCGAACTCTTGCCACCTTCCTCAGCCCCGAATGTGGTTTCCTCGGAGATTTAACTGTCACCTAAAACATCATTTTCACTGGCATTTTGTCAAGCTCGACTGACTTTCACGCAAATGCCTTTTTTAAAAGGATTTCCCTCAAGCCATTTCGATCGGACATTCCAACTCCTTCCTGAGACCAGTACAATGTTGGAGAATATAGTCAACTACATGGAATAGTGACAGTATGAAAATTAGGATGAAATTTCGCCAAGTTCTGGTAGAAGTCTACAAAAAGCATCGAGAATTTGCCAAAATTTCCCTCAGAATTTTCATATTATCACCACCACACGGTGTTGACCATATACATATATGCAGTTCGTGCCCCTATTATACACGACCACACACGCGAGACCAGCAAAAAGTACTACTGGGGACAAACTTGGGCACCCTCTTATAAAAGAGTCGACCCCTCAGCCTGAAGGTATATCCTCTAGTCCCAAACGGTATCGTAGTCGGCGCTGTATACAGCGATGAACCAATATTCGAGATCAACGGTGAACCCATTAAAGGGCGAGGCTGTGCCCCATTAGGTAACTGAAATCCACCACCTTTAACGAGCACTTCTTATTGGAGTTGCACGAGCCGTGATATGAAGAACACTAGTGAAAAACATATTTCCCAAATCACTACATACCGCGAATATCACGTAAAACGGTGAAACTCCCTTACACGTCCAAACCCGGGGGTCTGCGATGCTGAAATGAAAGTCCTTCTAGCAGTCGTACAGCATAGGGGCGATGACCAAGACTGCTTCCTTACAAGTCTGCTGAGCATTTACAAAACTAACAGCAACTGTTATCACCGCGAATTTATACGTAATCGTCGCCACTACGAACGAGCTCTCCTAAGGGAAGTAAATATAAATATAAAATCCTACCTAATATACGAGTTCAGAGTCAACGAGTAAACGATACTGGGAGTTTCACCCGTGATATGAAAAAAAACTCCCGTGAAAAACATGGCTGACATCTCACTTCTCAGAAACCAATTTTGTTACCAGCCGCGCAAACACATACGTCCTACATTTTACATGGAATATTACGTCACTTCTCGTTAAACGGGTTGTGAAACTCCAGTGAAGTATATAAACTCAACGCAAGCAGCACCATGAGGTCATCAAAATCATCATCGTCGTTGAGATGGAGTCGGCAATTGTCAGCAACTACCAAGGTAACATCCCCTGTAGTATATATCAAAAAAATCAGAATTTTCAATGGTTTGTTAAAGGAGTGTACTCGGCCATCTGGGACTTCACTTCTAACATCACTTCTTCCCTCAACTGTGCCTGAGTGGATTCAATGTTGGAGTTTCATAACCCGTTTTACGTGAAGTGGCGTAATACTCTGTGAAAAACGCGATATTCGCGCTATGTCGTGGTCATGATATAAGTTTTTCACTAGTGTTCTTCATGTCGCGGATGAAATTTCAATCCTAGACTAATATATATCTGGTTTCCTCAGCTGAGCTCAGAAGTTTTCTCAACGACTTAGTGCACAAAAATAGTATTTTTCAATAGAAATTTTGAGGAATTTTTATATGTATTTTTAAAATACAAAGAAAATCCTCAAAATTTCTCGTCAACATATGCATAATTTCCCACACTGAGCGCGTCCGAATGACAACTGCTAGACACACTAGACCACCACCGTTACTCACTTGCAAAGATCGTGTTATAAACTTCTTATAGATGAGCATACCAATTCCGAGGCCCGCCAGAATGCCTAGTAGAATCAGCACGACCGTACCAAATGTCACGCCACCCTCGTAAATTCTAAAGAGGACAACATTGGTAGTAATATTGATACTTTCCAAATCCACTGTGTCACTAAAATATGCCAACCGATGTTGGAATAAATCTCTGCTTAGCTCAGTTGAACTAAAGAGTTTAGGTAATTATAGAAATTCACATACAACTTCGGGTAGGAGTGGACAAAACCCAACGAGAAAATCCCCGAAATTTCTACATAAATTTCATATTATCACCAACACACGTAGTTGAACCCAACCCTAGGAGCTCCCCAGTTAGTCACATATCAGGAGCTTCGTATTTCGAGCATGCCGACGGAGGGTCCGTGAAAGCTGAGCATATCGCCTTCCGAATCGGATCCGCATCCAAATCTCCAGCATATCTGATACCACACCAGCCTGAGCATCCCCGAAACAACACCGCCATCCCCTATAGAATACCTCCATCCGTTGATTCTAACTGCGGAAGGACTCCACGCCTTCGTCTGCACTTGTGCATTGAGAATACTCTACAAAAACATATACATTCACACAAGCACCGAAAGCACTTAAACTTACCCGTTTCGTAACATCATCTTTCATGCACTTATCAATGGATGCAACATCGATCCTCAACTGCTTCATAACCTTCCCAAAGACCACATCTCTCAAAACCCCCGCCATAAAATGCCTACCCTCTCAGCACAAGCGTCACCAAATTTCCTATCATCTGCTGTGTTTTTCCATGCATCATGGGCCATCGACGCCGGGCATCTTAGGTCGAGTTTGGTAAGATACAAAATAGGCCCAAAGACTTACTCTCTGAGATAAATATCCTTATAATCGATATACGCATCTGAGTGCTTGAACGTCCCAAGAGCATCACCTAACAACAAAAACCTCCTCCTCCTCCTGCTACTACTACCACTACTACTACTACTACTACTACTACTACTACTACTACTACTACTACTCCCACCCCATGCATTCTACCCGCTGAAAGCGCCTCCGCAGTGAGCTCACGGATGCATAGTTGCCGTAGGTCTTCGTTCACGACCATACGGCCGGTCAACTGACTGTTACTCTCAACGTCATCCGAACAGTATCTATTATCAGGACACGCATACTACATTAGCACCAATATGGTCCAATTCTATGCATGAGCAACAGTATTCCTATAATATCCCATTCATACGACCCTTCCTGTTGAGTTCTTCAACCCTGTAGAATTGAACAACAGCATGCTATGATGGCGATTACTATAAACATTATTTCTTCACAGTTCTCACTAAATATCGAATTTTATTACCAATACCTGTAGTAGGGAAAATCCACTTTTAATATTACGAAAAAATCTAAATCCTTTCGCTCCTCGAAATTCAAGTCTACGAAGTTGAGCCACATTCGCTACAGCGATACAAATCCCGCCCCTCACGTGTGCTCGTCCACTGACAGACACATATCCTCATAAGCCTTATAGTCCAGGGAAAACACGTTGTAGTGCGGTCTGATGTTAATTCGGCCCTTCATCTCTCGAAAAAACGGTGCCTGCCAATGTGGGAAAATATGTAAAATTCCAAAAAAAATAGATTTTTTTTTTCATTTGCATACACTTCTACTCCAATTCCTATATAAACTGAGTGGAAAAATTCTCAAAGTCAAAACATCCCATAATATGTCCTCCCACCAGATCGTGAAACAGCTTGTAACTGTCCTGTCTCCCTGCACTAGTCCACCAGTCAAATACAACAACATGTTGAACTGGGAGGTTCCACGATAGCTCAACCAGAACGTATCTTAGGTTCAAGCTTGACGACACATACAGAGGTGAAAGATTCTACTTATGCATTCTGACGTCAGTCGCCTTGCTGTTGTCTTTGTTAAATCGATCGAGCCAACCCCTGAAGGAGCTCTCTAATATCACACCCTGCCAAAGCTACAGCCACTTACCGTAACAGTTCCGAATCTGCCCAACTTAGTAGAATGGTCGGTACGTTAACTCGTGAACCGTAACCATCATCAGCAGGGACCACATTTGTGATCTGAAAACTACCAATGAGAGCGATTCTGAAATAACCATCTAACTTTTCACAGTGCTGCAGAGTAGGAGTGACAATCATCTCTCCTACCATTGTTGAACGAATAACGGTAGTTCACAATCTTTTGATTCTGTCAAGGCTACCTTCAGTAGAAGTAGACTCATAACACTAATAAAATACTTCCATACATTGTAAGTAAGCAATGATTAAACTTCATTATCAATACATATAAATTTCCCTAATGAGAGTATGAATATTGAATTGATTATAATACGAAGTAGTTCTCTATCGTTCGCTCTTTTCCAGACACTACTGTTCACAGTTCTACAGTTCAAACCTGCAAAAGTATATGAGCCTGAGTTTAGGAGTAGCACAGCGACAAATGCTGATTATAATACGAAGTAGTTGACTATCGTTCGCTTCTCTCAAGAGTCTTGAGAGAAGCGAACGATAGTCTTCTCGGCGGTCTTGAGTCGAGACCGCCCTATTACACTACTATTGACACTTCTAGAGTTTCCAAATTCTAAAAACTATAAAGTAGCACGGTGTCGAATGCAAAAGTTCACTGTATTTCGATTCTGTCATGACCACCACTATCTCCATTAGTACATCCTGATCTCTCTTTTCGTAGGACTGTAATATCAGCACCGCTGCTGCGTTCTTCTTAGCCTCAGCTACCCTCACTTTAGATACAAACGTACAGGTTCCCCTACAAAGATTCAAAACAGGTCCAAAATCGTACCATATCCAAAACCATCACCTCTCCACGACAACTATGTTCATTGGCGTATTAGATCCTTCCACAGAAGCCGCCTCCCCCACTTTTTCATCTTTCGAGTTGAACTCCTGGCCGTCAACATCATAATCGTTTTGGCAGTGATTCGATTTGGACTCGGCAAATACCAGTCGACCTGCAGCTCAAAATTGGCAATCACAAAGATTAACAATATCATATATAGCACGAAAAGAATAATAATATCTATAGTGACAATTCTAGAACCCTCTCTCGAGAGCTTACAATACATTCTAGACGGGGATGGATACAAAACGGGTTAGCGTGTTGCTAGCACGAGTACTCTGCACATTGTTGAACGGGTTTCCCTTGACATGTATCAATTGCCCTGTATCGCAACGATGACCAAAAGACTGTCAAGATCTTTTGATTACTTCTGAACTGTCGTGTGCCTATTACAGCATAAACATATAAAGTTCCCGAGAGGATAACTCATTGTGAACCTTCCACATGACTCAGATTAGATTCTACAAACAGTCTCCCATGTAAGTGGCATCACATTATGAACATTTTTCCCATTCTCGTACCACCCTGATGAACACTACTTCTCAAAATCCAGATGAGTCTCTGCATATTGTGCGTCAGATTATATCCATATTAAATACTTCCCACTCACCTCGTTGTCGCTGGCCATAATGTGGCGTTCCAAACGTTGCCGTTGCTCCCAGCAAAAAGCCGTTATTTTGAACATGCTTAGCGACCCATGGTTCATCGATCTTCTGTACCTGACATCATCCGAATCTTACTAACGTCAACCTCTTCATATCTTACCAACTCCTCAGGTTTTATAACACGCACTTGAGCCACTGCATGAACTCCTAGAAGTACGAGGATCGACAGCCTCATCAAAGTAAGGACGATCACCAACAGCAACACACTGCTATGTCAAAGCCGACCTCAATTACGATCAACACAATTAGCAGTACTGATCAACTCGAAAGGTTCTAGAAATGATAATAATGAACAAATGGAATCTCCTCTGTCCCTCTCTGGTAAGCTCATGTTAATGACGATTGTCTTCTCTCCGAGGCGCCACCGGAAGCTCATCTTCCAGATGACAGTAACTACAGACAGAACGCTTAGTAGTACACGTGCCCCGGTTGCGGGATTGATAACGGATCATCGACTTATGATGTTGACACTATCCTTTTCTAATGGTTAGCTCCGGACACAACGACAATCATGAGTTACCACTGGGAAGACCGTAATAGGCCCATCCAGCTCATATGTTATTCACTTGAGATGAAAAGATGGTTAAGTGAAGTACACACCAGCATGAAACACTAAAACGGAACTAAATTCGAAAATGTCATAAATAATATAATTGTGATAAAATGTGATATGAATATGCTCCGATAACTGAATGCATTAAAATGTAGATGGAAAGTGTATAATGAATACTCATATTCAGTATGAAAATATACTACAACTTCTCACACTGCAAAATTACCAACATCAAAATCCAACAGTAAAAGCATCCAGCAAACATATAGGGCCTCTGAATAATCATTCCGGAATTATTCACTCACCGTTTAAACAACTCCACGGAAAATAAATTCTTACTACCGGACCCCTCGAAGAGCATACAAACATCCCATGAACCAGCCTCTTACTCGAATTGGAAGTCCTTCTTGATCTTCTGCGCCCACTCGTCAGCGTAGCAATCAAAGTAAACATAAGTGCCGTACTCGAACTTAGGGTTCACCACTGAGGGCTCGCTATGACGCTTGAACCACGTGCCTTATCAAAAGGACATTCCCGCTCGACCAAGCTGAGAGAACGTACCATATCTGCTATGGAATCTCCAACTCATCCGCTTTAGCTCTCGTGCTGCAAGGTACCTAATTTGAATCTTAGCCAGCGTAACCTAAGATTCCCACACTAGTACTGAGCGTAACTGCCAGGACGATAATAGAAAACAAACATTAGCGTGTCGAAAGACAACTTTTGAAACCTGAAAATTCCACAAGTACAACCAAACCACCGCAAATCCCCCAAACCCACATCGATTCCGTGTCATTCACCGGTTGCTGAGGATAAGGGCTCTTCCTCGCTGCACTAGACGGTATAGGATTCGCCGGAATCTGATAGTCAAAACGACAGTGAAGTTCATACAAAACCACATCGTCTCATCTCACATAGTTTCCTTCACTACAGCATAGATCGTCAGGCATCGGCCTATTCTCATAGCTCCGTAACAATACTGCTAAACCAGGCTCAACCGGCGTTGTCGTTGTTGCTGTTGTTGACAAAGGTGTGGTATCGTCATGTCGTTCCTCGACCTTTATAGGTTCATCTTCAACAACCGGTGCTGAAAAACAGTAAATACGTTACTGCGATGAGATGTGTGGTTATGTTACCTTTGAGACCAGGCGGGGGCATTGATGCTAGAGGCGGGGAAGGTGCGGGACTCGAAACAGTAGCCTAAACGCCCGATAAAGGGATCGAACCCACGACCTCCAGATATCCCTACATGGTCGGTGTCGCTACCTTCTCACTAACCTTGACACTCTCACTTCCTTCTTATCTATCTGCGAGGCTAACAACGGGCACATAATCGGCCAAAACCCCACCGAAGCTTCTCACCATCATCCAGCAGTGGTGGTGGAGGGTACTGAGGAACAGCCGGTGGGCTCGGTGGGGCCGGAGGGGATATCGAGGGGAGCGCTGGTAGAGTTGGTCGAGGCGGGGTCTGAAACCCAGAGGGGTCCGGAAGATTCAAGACAGGGCAACTCACTTTACAAGGTGGTTGATACCCGGCTGCCTTGGCTGCTAGAGCTTTCTGCATTGCCTTAGCACCAGCTGATAATGGTACCTAATCTCGACGACTCTAAGCTCGCCACTCTTCGTTTACTACCACTGCCACCACTACTACTACTACTACTACTACTACTACTACTACTACTACTACTACTACTACTACCTCCTTGACAGGTTTCTTCGGCTGTTTATCCTCATCAGAACTCTCCTGTGACTCCTGCGTGTCGGTAGGTTCCCCATCACCATTATCAGTACCATCAACATCAATAGGCTTAGTATAAGCATTAATACGATTGTCATCCAAGTTGTGGTTGGTATACAACTCCTCGTCGTGATAGTAATCAGGATTCTCATGCTCCTCAAGATAGTAACTGATAAAGCCAAATTTAGCAGCTATATTCGCTCTCCTCACAAATTTTGGAAGATTACATACAAATTCACCAACAAAAACTCGCGAGAATTTCCCAAAATTTCTTTAAAAAATTTCATATTTTCTCAGACGCGTACTCTAACGCCTGTTCAGTTATCTCCAACTCGTCGTAGTCGACATCCTCCTCATTATCCAATTTGCGTATCAACTGTTCCAGCTTGGCCTGATGCCACTGATGCCTCGCGATCCACAGCTCTACCAACAAGACTAATTCCATCGACCGTCCTTCAACCCGACCGCTACTACTTAATTCGGCGACCCTTGTGGACTCAGCGGAGCTCAACTTGGAGCCCTTCGACTTCCTTTTCTTCCCTAACAGTACCAATTCTACCCATGGGAGTAGTCCTCTCATACACCTACCCGCCTTCTCCCGGCCGCCCTCACCCATGATTTTCTCCATTTCCGCGGTATACTCGTCATTCTGGTGTGACACCTCCATCACATATACACCACCGTGTCACCCCTACCTGTTGCTTCAGCTGATCCACATAAGACTCCAATTGACTGCGAGTTTCCATCCTCTTCTGCTCGGCAGGGTCGACCTTATCCTGAAACCATCGACTTAGCCATTACTCCAAGGAAGACCCCCCTCCTCACCTGAGCTTGTAGGCCAATGAAACTGAATGGTTTAGTTTTGCTTTCTCTCTCAAACTCTTTGAACCGCTCCATTTCGACCTGCAAAATCTATCGGGGAGTCCTCATGTGTTGGTGAGCCAACCTCAATCTTCCGTCGAGCGTCAGTGAGCTTCCCCTTGTCCTTCACTTCCTGAGCATTAGAACCGAATTGCTGGTGGAAAAATGGTTAACTAATAACAGTACCGTTCCATTGATCCACTTCATGATATCCTCTCTAAATCGTTGAAGTTTTTTAATCTCCTTTTTCAAATCCATTTGGTTTTTCTCCTGAAAAAATCGCGTAAAAAATTCCGCCTACCTTTACTTTTCGTTCCAACTCACCCGTTGGTTTTGATTTTGGCTCTCCTCCACTTTTCGCCATACTTGTTGGAATTCATCAATTCCTTCATCGACTTTCTTCAGAGTAACGTCAATGGTCGCCTGCAATTTTCGACTGGCAGACATGAGGTCGACCTACTGCCACTAGAGTGGTTCAAAAGGGAAAAAGGAGATTACAACTACAGGGTGTCGACTTGGAAATGGCGCTGCCCCCATAACTTGGTGTCACGAAATTCATGGTTTTCGCCCCCCCCCCCAATTCGGTTCACTTCCATTGACGAGAAACAGGATGAGAAGACGATGTCGGTTGATCAACGAAGGCATGGATAAAACATATCCGAGAGATATCAAGCTCTGGCACAGATTTCTTGTGAATT